CCAAAGGATATTGATAAAAAATGGCAGAAGGATTTGCGAGAAAGAATAACTAAATAAATCAGAGGACATTAAAATTTAAATTATTTATTGGATTTGTCTAGCTACCACTGGGCTAACTTAAAGCATTTTACCCTTTTACCTCAATTAGGTCTGGGATGAACCCTCTCGATCCCATTTCAATCTAACTCAACTTGAATTTACGACCTTCGGACCTTTCCACAAGTCTATTGGCCACTGATTTATACAAGTTAATTAACACTTTTGTTGGCCTACCCCCAAAAATACAAAGCCATTCATAATACGGCAGGGCATATGGGGAAGCCCTTTATGCCACACAGCCTCATCTCCAGGCCACCTATGTCAACAAAGGCGAACAAAAAGGACAATTAAACCCTTTGAAAAAAGCCAGGGAGCAGACAAAGCGAGGCAAATACAAACACGGAATAGCAAAAACCGAACTGAGTTGCGAAGGTCAGGACGCCATCCCCCTGGAAGAACAACGATTTATTGGATATTGTCGCTGGGTTTTCACAACATTTTATCGCCTCCAGACGGACAGATAAACGCAATAAACAATTGCCGGGCCACAAGATGGAGATGCCAGGTCCTGGAAAACATATTTAGACTTTTCTTAAGTAAATTATTGCAGAAATCGACAGCAGACAGCAGGCCCGGAAGCTCAAATGGGCGCAAAAATGTCATTAAATGGCAGCCACGACAGGCGTCCTTCCACCAGAATATCCAACCCAACCCGTCCTTACATCCATCCTTCCATCCTGCTCCTGGAGAGCGGGAAAGTTGTTGTTTCCGTTTCCGCCAGAGCTGAGGTCCTTTTGAAATCCTGGCGACAACGCAACGACAACTCCTCATCGTCATCGTCCTCTGTCTTTTGGGCTGAAGCTCATTTGCGAAGTTGCCGCTGCAAATATTTGCTTAGCCCTTTTGCACCCGGCCCAAACGATTACCGAAGAGTGAGCCAACTCTTGTTTATTTTCGTTAGACATTTTCCATGCTCGATATGGCGACACTTAACCCTTTAATGCCTGCAAAGCTGTTGGCATTTCGCCTTGCCGTTTTCAAGTTATGAGCCTGCAATTGGTAGATTGGAATGCCTCAAATGGTTAAATGGTTTTATTTACTTCGATCAGTGATGCGAAAGTTATCTTAAGTAATACCAAATACTATTTGGCAAATAGTACCCACTTTGTTAATAAACACTAAAGGTATAACTAAATGTCTATATAATAAAGTAAGGTTCGACTTTATGACATTTGCTTCATTTCATAATTCATTTTCATAAATACTCCAAACACAATTTCAAGGTCAGCTAAACATTTTGGTTAGGAAATAACATTTTGTTGGACTATACTAGGATTATTAAGTTAAGGTCAGTACATACCCATCTAAGCTAGCCCTTTCTTCCTTTTTTAACAATTTGAACTTTGTCTATGAATAAAAATACAAAAAATTGTAATTTATTGTTTCTTTTCGATGATTTCGATAGTATTGATATTGTTGATAATATCGATGGTGCACATTATCGATGATTTCCCAACCCTACACTGTGATATTGTCGTTCTGCAATATAAGTCAAAATAACAGAACATTATTGATCCCAAAAGAAGATCCTGATCATCCTGGCTTCGATTTTTTTCAACTTGTACCATATAATACCATACCGAGGAATGACTTTTAGAGTCTAAAAAACTAAATCCTGTATAATTTTTACCACTAGGGTAACTTTAAGAACTTTGAGAACTCATCGAACAGCGACTGCCTTTGTTGATGCATTTTCTTGCCAGATGATATTTTACCCGTGAAGGACTTCCAGTCGATTGTGGAAATCCAGCTGGCGGAGTTGAAAGTTCAGTTTAACTTGCGGCCGTATTCAGTTCGGGCATTCAGTTTACCATATGTGCAAAAGCAGATCTACCCTTCATCGCCATCGATTCGCTGCAGTTCGTGTATCCATTCCCTCTGTTCTCCGATATCTACATATCAGGGATATTGGGCAGGCTCAAACGTTTCCTCGAGGAGTTCCGCAGTCAGGTCTTGCACCAGAAACTAAAGACGAAGGAATCCGGCCCACCTCCGTTCACCTTCAAGGATCTGGGCTCTTCACGCTCCATGATGAGCTGTGAGCAATGGCTCCCGTTCTGTTTGTGCTATTTTAATAAAGTTCTTTTAGCCTCCTGCAACTTAATCTCCTCCTGCAATGCACTTTGGGAAATGCTCTCGAAAATAAGAAAAACACTGCCCAACATGAGTTCTGTTTAAAGGTGGTAGACCGTTTTTAAATTTATTAAAAAGATTTATTTCAAAATAGTAAAAAAAATTTTAAATGTGTTTTTCTTTTTTTAAAAATGTTTTGAAGATATCAAAAATATTTCAAAAAATAATATCAAAAATTTTTTGTTTATACTTATTAAAAATTTAATTTTTGGTGAGGAGCAGCAGAACAGTCTCTAAAAACCTACTAGCACAGTGTAGTTTAGCCCGAAGGCTCTTGTCGAAATTTTGAGGCGTGGCGAAGAAAAAATAGTTTACCTTGGCAACACGGGAAAGAACAAATTGCCTGCAACTAAACATAATGGTTAAACAGACACCTGCTCAAGACTCCACTCCACTCAAGGAAAATCACTTGAGCGGCTCCGCCGGAGGTCCCAAGTTCCCTCGCCTTTGGATCCTCGTCCTTATCGCGCCAGCAGACATCACCCAACAGATTCCGACCCCCTCGACATAATTTGCTGTGGTTTTGCATTTACTTTGCATCTCGAGCGTGCTTGAGGCAAAAACAAACCCAGAAGCTGCAACGGTGAAACACAGAAAGAATAAACATATAATTTCCAATATAATTCCCCATATTCAAAATTAATCTATTTGTGGCGTTCAATAAATATAGGCATTTTTAACAGTTAAGATACATTTTCTTGTTTTCTTGATGATTATTTACAAAGTTATAAACGTTAAGAACTGAGTACAAATCTTGTACTTCTGTTTATAATTCTTTGGTTTTTGTGTAGGAGCGGTTGGAGGAGCGCCTCAGCAGCATTAGCCTGGCTCCTTGGCTCAGCTGCATCTGCTTCTTCTTGCGCAGCTCCTTGCACTTCCGTTTCCGGCTGCCCTTCGCCGCTCATCCTCCGCATCTCACTCGACTCAAGCGTTTCAGTTTGTTGGCTTTCGTCTTGCCAGCTGCATTTTCATCCTGTTTGCAATCACTCCGCCTCCGTGGTCCTTGCGGTTAGCTTCTGGGGAAAGGAAAGCGCCGAGGGTGTAGAAAAGGATTTAAGGACAGGGTCTGCTGCCTCAGCTTGTTTTTCGGGTTTGTTCTGCCTTGTCCTGTTCCTTTTTTTACTTTGGTTTTTTAAGTTGCTTGCCATTTGCACAAACATATGCGCATACTTAATTCGAAATTGTTTTTCCTTGGTTACGGATTTGAATGGCTCAAGAGACACTGCGAGAAAAAGTAGTTTGGAGTACATAGGCTTAGTAGAAAAATTCAAAAGCCTGAGAAAGAAAATTGTTCCTTTTTAGTAAAAGTAAAATTTTATAAACATTTATTGGAGAATTTGGGTATACTTAAAAAATTTGTTTTTGATCAAAATTTAATTTCTAACTAAAATTAAGATTAGGAAGTTTAACTCCTCTTTTGCAAAGCTGGTATGTTATCTAATTACTTTACATTAAAAATGATCAATGTAAATAAAATTCCTTACAAATGTATATATTTATTGTGACAGTTAAACAAAAAATTGGAAAAATGAATCAATAAAGTCCTTTGTAAGGTCCTGAAATTTCTCAAAGTGCATATGCGTTTTCCCTGATAGTTTCAGCCTGGCACTTTTCCTTGTACCCACTTCGGAAACTTAACTACACGCGTTATTTGCACAGCAAGTTGGAGCTCATTTACACGACAAGAAGAAACCAAAGTGGAGCGGGAGGAGTACAGGAAACCATCTTCTGAAGAACTGGAGATGGGGAACTGACTTTTGCAAAACTATTTTTACTCCGTTTTTAATTTAATTAGCACTCAATTTGCCAGCCTCTCACAGAGAATGTGTGTGTGCTCACTTTGCCCCATTAGCAGAATAGGGCGGCGGCAAATATGATTTCCAACTTGTGTGCTTTTCGCTTTTCTTTGAGGAAGCTGGAAAAGTTTCGCCTCGCCTCATATTAATTAATCGCATTAAAATGATTTGCATCTGCCGGGAAAAAGGCCAGACTTTTGTACTTTGGCTGCAAAGGAGGTGCCGACTCCTATTTAATTAAACTCAATTTATTAATTGTTGGCTGTTAGCTGCTCACCCACCAAGTCAGGTGGGCTTGGGTACCTCTGGGGGCTAACGCTTGGCATGGACTTAGATGGGAATCAGGCTGGATGATTGATTGTCCAGGCTTGGGACACGCCAATCTCCGGGGAGGAAGATGGCCGGACAGCAAATGTTGACACAGGTGTAAGTCGCCTGCCACTGCAATTGTAATTGTAATTCCTCTAAATGAGTTCTGTGTTTCCTGGGGACAAAGGGGGATTTGTATTTGCTAGCCTGACTTGGAGTTTTGTTTCGCTTTGTGCTCGAATGTCATTTGTTTGCTCTGCAATGAAACTCTTTTTTCCGACTTCAACTAACTTTTCTTTGGTACGCGAAAGTTTTCCCAAAAAGTACCTTTAAACTTTAAGCACCAAGAAAAACAGCATCTTTTAATGAGCTTGTTCCCCTCCTGCTATTCGGTTTCCTAACTTTTGCCAATTTGCAACCGCCTCGATAAGTCCCATAAATTTCGGAAAAAAATGACTTATGATATCTGTTGCGGATTTGCCCCTTTTAGCCATAAAGTCAACACATTTTTTATCGGCTTAGCCTGTTTTGTTTATGACTTTCCACCGTTTTATTGTCTGGGGTAAAAGGAGATGCCAGAATAGTTTGGGGAAAAGTTGAGTTGTTAAATTTCTTAATTTTTATTCGAGTCATTGTTGTTCTAGAACATAACGTATAGTTGTTTTACACAATCACATCAACCTCTAAGAATTGTTCTTTCTTTAAACACAAATAGCTTTCTGTTTCCATTCTTTTGGCTTGACACACAAAGGGAAACTCGTACAGGCTGCACTCGATATTGTGGTAACCAAAGCCATTGTAATTCGCATAGCCCACACAGTCTTTGGCCAAGAGATTATTCGGTTGATTTGGAGACCAAGGCGTATACGCAACGGCTGCGCCATCTCGATTCTGAACAAAGGCACTACTATTACCCATTTCCAGGCATGAAAGTCCTGTCCAAATCGAGTCCCTCCAGCTGTTGGAAAATGGTAGGCCCAGTACTTGGAGAGTGGCTGTCAGAAGCTGCATATCCCATTCATTGTCGAAAACAACCAGGGTGGAGTTCAAATTGTAGCACTTGCGATCGGCATTGAACCAGTTGGCCTAAAGGTTAATAGAGTATTATAGGTGTTTTTTAAATTTAAAATTGACTCACCTTTTCGTAGGACACATGGTAGCACTTTTCTCCTATGAAAGTAAAACCAGAGGGACATCTGGCTTTCAATTCAGCCCGAGCTAGAGAAAATATCAAAGCAGCACAAAGGGAAAATAAAGTCTTCCCTATGCCAGACATGGTCAAAAACTAAACACTTTCACTTGTCTTCTGGGGTCTGCATAGTCGAATTGTTATCATATCTAATCTGGAAACGTGTAATGGCAATATAATTTAGAATATCTTCAGTGATAATCATTATGAGTAACGTCGGTTAGCGTTATCAAGGGGGAATCCTGATAAGTACTTTCAGCTTTTCAGCCACAAAAGAAGTAATAATGTTACGGTAACATTCCCGTTCAATGACTTCCGTTTCCAAGCAAACTTGGCCCATGTTTGCTATTTTTAAAAAGTTTATTTCCCGCATTTGCGGCAGACGGTCTAGATTATTTTCAGCCCTCTCGCAATTGAAACCGGAAGTACATTTATTGTGCCAATCTCGAGGAGGAAACTCGGCTCTCGGTTCATATAAATAAAAAGCCAATTAAAATACAGTAAAGCCTCGCAACAACATCAGCAGCACAAACAAAAACCAAAAGCCCCATCAAAGTTTAAGTAGAATAATGAAAGGAGTTGAACTTTTATGACGGTAAAGCCTGCTGCATTGGCCTGCTGAAGGATTATGGTTCATTTAATTGGGTTTAATGCGCTTCGAAATTATATTAACAACGCCAGAAACATTCGGAGAGTCAAAAGTTGGTTCAATTAAATCATTTTGAAAAGGAATTTAAAATATGCATTTAGTGGCGGGGGAATTTAGTACGTTTTGTATATCATTGGTAATTTTTTTAGAGTTTTCACTTAACATCTAATGATCTATAGCACCAAGTAACAAACTAGTGTCGGAAGCATTTCCGCTTGAAATGCGTTTGGTTTAAGCTGCAAGGGTTATAATCTTTGGCATATCGATGTTAGCTTCCAAGAGAATATCAGATGTAAAAAAAATGTTAACAAGAGCTTTACTCGTTGTACAACATATATACACATGAGTAAATAAAATCCTTTTATTTCATTTTTGAAAATTAAAAAAAATACCCATTGTTAATAGAATTTGACAATATTTCCCGCAGTGCTTTTCTTCAACAAGTTTTTCTCAATCAAAGTTTGCCCGCTCGACAATGGCCATCGCCAGTGCGTTCGCAATGCTGGTTTGGACTTTTAGTTTGGCACATAGCTCTCCGCATGTCGATGTCGCTCCTATCGCCCTATTCCTCTGCAGCTCTTCACTGCTGCTCCACCCTGTCAGTTGGCCAACAAAAAGCTCCAGCCACCGACATGGCCTGCTGCTGAATGATAACAACAAGCCGCACTGGGAAGCGGTACGGAGCTGTGGCAATTAATCTTTACAATGGCGAACATGCGAAATGGAGTTCATAAATCCCAAGTCACGCTACACGGCACCCAGAATAGGGATTTGGAGAGGGCTCTTGGCTCTGCTCGGGGTTTTCAAATGTAGTTTAACTTTAAACTGCTAGTTACTGAGCAGAACAAGTTCTGTGCAATTTGGGTTCTACTTATGGATTACCCACCAAAGGGTAGAGTAGAGCAATTAGTGAAAATATGTACTCTGTGGAACATCTTTGGTTAAATCCCGAACACACTCTTTTTCAAGGTTTTTGAATGGCTTAACCTTTTCCCCCTTTGGAAATGCACGAGATAAATGTAAATTTATTCGAATGAAAGGGCACAGCATGCCAATGGAGAAGAAAGAAGAATAACAGCCATGGTAATGCCTTGATATATTAGGGTAGACAGCGTCTACAGTGCGTATGAGTAATAATGCGGCAATAGATTTATGGCGAATGGCAACGGAGCTCTGTTTGCGCTTATGTCTGTATAAAAAAACGCATATAAATATCACATTTGTGCGCGATTTATTATGACCAAGGCGATGGCCCGATCCTGTTATCCTTTCCGCCAGTGAAATTAGCTCATTTGTCTTATTTTATGCCGGCTCAAAAAGTATTCAGGCTTAAAAGTGCCGACGACTGGCAGAAATTACGAGACGGTCTTCCGGCTCGGAAGGCAACTTGAAATGTTATGTCTGTGGTTAGGTTGTGTTTATCCCCACTCAGATTGCCCTGCTAATCCCCTTTTGCATAAATCAACAGGCGTTTTAAGGCTCCAAAAAGGTTGCCACCCATGTGACCTTTGCTCTGCCGGCTGTGGTCTTGTTTTACGGGTGGAATTTATTGGGGTCAATTGCCGGTTGCTCTGGCCATGAGCACATTCCAGATGCTTAAATAAAAAATGTATCTGATTGCCTTCGTTTCAAATCACATCTGATAATTGGGTCGAAGGGAATCACCAGCTGAGCGTGTGTCCTGAACACGACGAGAATTTAGATGGGCAGATTAGGAACTGCAGTAGGTGCAGATTGCCAGAAATTCGGAGAATAAATAAATATTTTTTAGTTATTTTCTATTTTAATAGGTACTTTAAATTTATCACATTAATCAGATGTATTTTTATAAATAGAAGAAAAAGGCAAACAGAATTTAAAACTCTGAGAATAGACAATTTTAAAAATACATTTCAATCACATTACTAGTAATAGGGGTGTTATAACCAAATAAAATAAATTGGTAGAAATGGTAAAATAGTTTTTAGATTATTTTTTTCATGAAAGAAACATGAAACCAATTATATTTTATTTACAAAGAAACACATGCTACGAAATATAAAAATGCTATTCTTGACTTCCTGCAAGAGACCACAACATCGAGGAAAATATGCGTCTGCAGTGCAAACAACTGGAAGTACTCATCGAGTAAACTTAATTTCCAACAAACTCTGTTTCTAGGCTGTTGAGCGATCAGAGCCGGAAATTCGGGTTTGCCAGAAGGGCATAAAAATGCGGCAACACAAAACTGCCGGCGACTTCTACGACTTTTTAAGTTTTGGTAGACTTGGTCGGAAAACAGCTGCTTCAAAAAAAAGAGGAAAACACACCCATGAAACTCTTCCGTGAACATAGTTTTTAGCACATTTTTAGCATTTTATACTTTCTCTGACTTCTTAACTCGATTTTGTGAGGGTGAAGTTTATTCAAAAAAAAGAAATATGTTTTCCGCACGGAACTTGTTAATTTTCCGCTGCAAATCTGTCAACTTTTTGGGTCTGAAGGAAAAAATTCACTGGCAAGTGGCAAAGTTTTGGCAGCAAACTTTTTGCATATGCTCCGAGTAGAGCACACTTCTAGGCTCAGTTGCTGGTCTAATTAAAAGTCTAGACTCCAGGGCGACTTTTTCATCTCCATTGTCGATTTCGATTCCGATCTGACCATCCATTAACCGCAATTTCCAATTAATCAACTGGCGTGCATTACCCGCAACAACAAGGCCAGGAAACTGCACATGGGCCATGCAAATGTTATAAAGTTAATTGCCATCGCTGGCCATTTGCTGGCCGAGTCCCCTGGCTCTTTGCCCTTTTGGCCACTCGCAATTGGGGTTGTCCTTTTGTCCGAGTGCTCAAAACATTGTGTATTCCATGTGTGAGCTTTGTTGTTAGATAAAAGTTCGAAATGAATAGCAGATGTGCCAAAGGGTCGACGGCCCCTCCTTCCGATGGCTTGTAATCCGCAGAAAATGCATTTTCTTGATAGATATTGCTGTGCTTGAAAAATCATTTTTGGATGGCAACTTGTCCAATCCAAGCCACACTTTAAAATCCTTAATATTGAGCATATGATGGTCAATAAAACTTGATATAATTAAAAACGTTTTAGAATATTATCAGAATTAAATTTAATGTGTAAGGCAATTTTAAAAATTAAGTGTAATATTCAGAAACTAGGCTAACAACAAAGTATTTTTTTCATTTGTAAATAAATATTGTTTTTTGGTTAGAGTGGCTTATATGCTTTGTATATTCAAAAACAAAGCTCCCTAAAGATCCCTGCGTTTTAATGTAGCTACTCCCACAAGGACTCACACTTGGCCAATATCTTTTTTCCACAGTTTATGATTCTGTTTGAAAAACCACAAAATTAATTGCATGTCATTAGCAGGAATCTATTAAAAGCCCGAAGCGAAACGCAGCTAAAAGCGGCGGCGACTTAAATACCTTGGCAACCTAACAAACAAACAAACAGACGGACAAACGAGTTACCCAAACCCCCAAATCAAACATTTATCCACACTCGCAGAATCGCAGGTGGGGATTGTGCATTTACATGCCTGAAAGTATGCAGCTCGGAGTGAATGCAGAGATACCAGGCGAAAGCCCCTCAAAAGCGAGCTCATTTGACTGGCCCCCGGCCCTTCGAACCCGTCCATTTGGCTAAGCCCCCAACGCGGCATTATCGACCACACCCACTGCCACGCCCACTGGCCCAGTCGCCCACGGCAACCTCAGTGTGTATGGGAATACTAATGTCCAATGATTAAATTTTAATTACCGTGCACCAATCGAGTTTGCGTTCGTTTCGATTACACCTCCTGCTGCCAATGGAACTTTTGCGGCAGTATCTCCATCTGAAAAAGCTCGTTTTTCATCCTTTCGAAGTGATCAATGGAGGAACGGCTGAATGCATGTTGCCGCCGGCCATTCAGAGCTCCTGTTAACATCATTAACTGTTGCCAATTCAACGAGGTCGATGCACCGAGATAGGTAACTCGAAAATAAATACTTCTCAGACAATGCCAAGTACCTTTGCCGTGTGCACAGAAGAAAATATTTTAAAATATCTCTGGAAAATGGGGAAGATATATATTAACCTGAAGATGTTTTAAAAAATATAAGATCATATGCAGATGTACCAATTATAATAGTAATTAACCAAAAATGAATGTAGAATATAATAAATAATTCAAAATCACTTTTAATTCTAGCTCAGTTCCTTAAAAAAAAATAGTTCATATTGAATTTAATTTTTTTTAACAAATATACCTAGAAATATATATTTACTTATCCTGATCGTTTAATAAAAAATAAAAAGTGTATAAGGATTACATTGTGATTTTGGTTATAGCCCTGATTTATGAGTGGGTACATCATCGCTGCAAACATTTTTTCTCTGTGTAGTGGTGATTAAATTCTGGAATATATGGGTTCTACTTACATTGCTTTGGCCCCCCAACTTTTTGCGCCATATTAACTGGGCTTATTTATTAAACACGTTCTGGACCAGCACAGCTGCTTGGTCTGCTAGCTGTGCCCCTCCACCGAGTGGTTCCATTTGCGCCAGTACGTGTGCATACCAAATGGCATCCTGGCCAGGTCCAGGTCCTGACTCCTGGTTCCGGCCATTGCAAAACACGGCTCGCTGGGCTCTCTGAGCCCGCTGACCGGCTGTTTGTGGCCTCAATAAATCAACCGGAATTAAGTCATCAATAATGGAAAGACATAAAGCAGGCAGTCGAGCACTAGTTGGAGCAGTTTGCGTTGCGTAACGAGAGTGGGGGAGTTCGGTTGAAAAATACTTGTGAGTACCATAAAGAAATGCAAATTGTTGTGGAATGTGTTCAATATGTCGGTTCTGCGAAACGAGGTCCTTTAATGTTCAACAGTTGGCGAACTAGTTGTAAAATGACTTTATTTAGTTAACGTGGGTTTATTATTTGTTTTACCTTTAATTTCGGTTAGGTAGACACCGTTATCCAAGTAATCCACTGGCTTATTTTAAGTTTTTGGAACTGCTAATATTTGCTTTTAATACCAAATATTTATACTTTGAGCAGCAGAATTCCCTTTAAATCCACCACCTATTGTTGACTCGGAATAAATGCATATACTTTTTTCAATTCGAGAACAATAAACATTGGCTAATTGCGCTAAACAAATTGAAGATCAATTTGTTGGGTAATTTCTGGTTAGACAACCCGGATTGACTGAGAACGCCAAGTAATCAACACGAAAAAGCGAAATAAAAGGCCATAATAATAATTTATTAGACGGTTGGTGATAAATATGCAAATAAGTAATTGCTAGTATCGGTGACTTTGTGTGAATTATGAACTCACAATCGTCTGGATTTTAATGGCTAATAGGGGGTTTTCCTTAACAGTGATTTGCATCTTTTTAATGATAGTTTGATTTCTCTAGTGACGTAGTGAATTTAATTAAATTAGTAAACTTCAGAAGCTTTCTGCTTAAATGACATCATAGAAATTTATTTATACGAGTATTTAATTCACTTAATGCCGCACGTTCTAAAAAGCGTCAGCACAGAAAATATAATACAATAATTAAAAATTTTTTTATAACTAAACTTGATTGTGAGGCTTTCAGTTTGGCTGACTTAATTAGAAAGTCATCCACATGAGTGACTTTGAGTTACAATTGACACATGCCATTTATCCCGGCAGATGACTCATTTCTCTTGGCCGTTCTTTTGTTTTCAGCTCAGAATCAAGATACTTTGCGCACGTTTTTTGCCAGCTTATCTTGTCAATTTGGTCTCTCTTGGAAGACAAATTCATAAATATTTTAATTAAAATTCGAGCGAGTGCCGGGGCCAATGTTGTTCTAAGTTAAAAAGTTTTCAATGCAAACTCGCAAAACGGAAACGTTTTCTACAACGTCATCAGAAACGCATAACATTCCCGAAAAGGGGGAAAACAGGAAGCAAACTTTTTGGCGCAAGTTCAGCGAAAGTTTCGCAGCAAAGAGAAATTTAACTAATTCCATTATGCATAAAAGTGTAAAAAAATAAAAAGGCATTTTGAAAATGTTAAACAAAAATGTGAAAACTTTGCCCTTGTTGCTACGCCAGGCCAATGGAATTTTCCTTCGCTCGGACCGGGCAAGGTGGAAATTTGCTTTCCATACTTGCTTTAATTCCGCTCGAAAACTCACGTTTTGTTTATTTAAAAGGCGCACATAATTCGCCGGATACTTGGTGTGAAAAAAGCTGGGCTCTTAATAGTTTATAGCCGGCACTGCCCAATTTTTAAAATCGAGAGGTTTAAAAGGCTGCCCATTTAAATGGTAATAGTTGCAAGTAAAGTTTAGTCTTAATCAATAAACTAGTCTAGGCAAGATTAGATGCCATTTGGGTGAATTATTTATGATCTTGGAGAAGAGATATATCTAATATTTTCCTTTATTATACATTACACAAACTCGTGCTTACTTATTTAACCATTCTTGTAAACTATATACCTACTTTTTTAACATAACCTACCCCAGTGAGTAAATCCTCTTCCTTTTAATATATTCTGGCAAAAATCCTATTTATAACCAAAATGAAATCATTAAGCGGCTTTTACTGTCAACACAAATGGCACGCAAGCATTTCAAAAGCAATTCGCATTCAGGCATAGGAAATAATAAAAATGAGAAGAAAGTCGACTTCCATAGGCGGAAAAAGGAAGGCGACCCCGCGAAAGTTGCCATGCAATTGAGTTGAAAGACAAACAAAGGGAAATTCTGCGGAAATGGGAAATCGGAGGCAAGCTCCTTTGAAAAGCTGTTGCCACAATAAACGACACGATTCGTTCACTCACTTACCCATCCAGTCAGTTCGTCAATTACATTGATTTCGTGTGCGGTTGTGTCTGTGCGAGAATTTCCACCTGCCGGAAAAGTTGAGCGGAAACGGGAGCGAAAAGTCGGGGAAAACTCAGCCGTCGCTATTGTCACCCTCGGCGCATTTTGATTTGTCTATCTGTCGTTTAATAATACAAAGTGTCCTTTTGGTTCGATTCCTTTCCCCAATATTTTCGACAATTTCCTTCGACAACAAGGGCGGCAGTGATTGACTTTTGTTTGCCACCATTTTCATTACTATTTTCATTTTTTCACGTCCCATTGTCTGGGCTTTTCATTTTCTTTTTTCTCGCCGCAAACTTGTTTACCTCGATGTTATTTACTCGGCGTAATGATTTTTCTATCAAGCGCTTAACATCGGAATTTTGGCCCATTGTTGGCGCTCCGGTTCACCTGTATGCCAAATGCCAAAAATGTCAATTGGTGCGTGCTGAGTTCGCTCCATTCGCCCTGTTTATGGCGCATGTTTTACGAGGCGTAAAAAGTGTCATTAGAGCAGATAAATACGTGTAATTTGTGCAAGGTTTTATGGGTGGGAATGCGAAACGATGATGTGTTCCACAATCATGCAAATTTCAGAAATTCCTATGTGGAGTCGGTAGGATGTGTGGCCTATTATTTCTAATAGGTTGCCAGAAATCGAATGAAACCTCTGTAAATGTTTCACTGCTTTGTCAAATTTATTATGTGTGCTTACATTGGGTTTGGTATTTGAACAATCTGAAAAATACGCATTTAAGCGCGTTTTATGCTTGATTTAGGAATGAATTTACTACTCAAATCAAATAAATTTCATTCTTTCAGAGCAAATTCATTAAAAAAAAAAACAAGTTCGATTTCTGCTGGGCCTAAGTATAGAATATCCAAAAACAACAAGTACAAGCATTCTTAAATTGATAACTAAAAGTACTTGATCAAATGGCCCCAATTCGTACCTGTGGCACTTTCAAGATCTATTGGGCTTTTCTTTTTCTGAGTGTATTTGTTAAGAAATGGTATTACTATTTGATTTATTAAATATTACAAGACTTTTTCCTCTTATTTATATTATTACAATATAATTAAACAGCCTTAAAATAAGTAGAGATTGGTATCTTTGTATTTTAAGAAAAGGAGTCCCGCTTCGGGCTGTTTCTGTTATTGTAAAATGGGGTTTGAGCTACATAAGCTACTTACTTCTATACCTTTTAAGGGCGAGGATAGACTTTATCGATTGAATATAATACCCTCTGCCCATCCGCTATAAGTCTGGTTCCCGTTTCATAAATTCGCAGAATGCATTTTTTAAATTTTTTACTCCGATTCCATTGCATGGCATCGCATCGCCGACTGTTGTAACCGCAGCCAAATTAATTTCCAACTCTTTGGGTTTCACTTTGACTGCCGCATGGGCGTGACAAATGCAGCCAGAGTAAATTGTATAATTGCAGCTTTATTAAATTTAATAAAAATTCATACATATGCCAGTGCCGACATGACACGCCCCCACAGACGGGGGGCGGGCAGAGGATCTCGCACCCTTTTTTCACTTCCGTTAATCGACTGCACTTTTGCATTCTGTTGACTGCACACAGATGCCGCCTCCTTTATTTCAGGGACCCAGAACCCAGACTCCAGGTCCCAGGACCCAGAATCCTGGATTCAGGATTCAGGACCAATGGGCAGTGCATGTCCTTTGTTGCCAGTCGCATTCGTAGCCCACACCTTATCAAATCCCCCGGCTCCTGCAGCCTTGTGGTTATTTTTTGCATTCACGTTTTTGTATCCCATTTAATTTGGCGCTTGCTTCTGGCTGACTTCGGTTTCTTTGGCCTTTTATTCAGTCGGTGTTTTTCCCAACCTTCCACTTCTGGAGCGTAATTTTAATAAAGTTCGCAGGGATTTTTTGTTGTTCGGGTAGTCAATTGTTATCTCCCAGCGATAAGTAAATAAAAGGGACAGGGAAGCGGTCTGTTCCTGAGTTGCAATTGCAACTGGATTGCCGAGTGCTGTTGGTTTTCGCATTTTCCATTTTCCCAGACCCTTCTCCCTTTTGCGAATATGAATATTACTGAGTGATAAGACCAGGGGACTGCAATTAATTGTGAGCGTTTCCATACGGACTCCATCCGGATGTGTGTGAATGCCGGTGCGCTGGCATAATTCAATCTATTTTATTTAAGCTTTCCGTTAAGCTTTATTTAATTGCGAATTGCATTGCCTGGTATTTCCCCCAAGTTAAGGAATGAGAATAAATGAAGCAGCTTAAAGGAGGAAAATTGTGTATACCCTTTAACTTTGTTAACATTGTAATGCAATAGTTTTGATGTATTGTAGTTCCAAAAAGTTGTTTTAATAATAAATAAATAAATAAATAATAAATATAACTTTTATTAGGATATATCAAATAGCAAAGCCATTGGCTTTTGCACACCTCAATCTATTTTCCACCATTAACTCGAATTTTGAGCACTTAGTCAAGTGGAAAGATGATCAGGGGAACTGGGCAATTAGCGCATTCATGCCAGGCTGGCCTCGACTGCCGACTTAGTCGAATGGGCGAAATGAGTGGGTTAGGCTGGATCGTCGCCATCAAAGTAATGCTCATCGTGTGTGCGATTGGCAGAAACGCCGACACCACCCCGTCGAATTCGCGGTATAAATGGACTACGGTAGTGCCAGGCTAATAGCGACACCACTCCTTTCACATCAGTACACTTAAATGAAGAACCAAAAGTTGACTTATTATTGAGTTACTTTTACCTCATCACAGTAGAGTAACAAAGAACACTTTATTCTATGATATTCTATTTAACCAAAAATCGAAATGGTTTTGTATATGAATCATATATGAGTTTGTGGCTTTCTTTGATCAATATTTTATGATCTCATGGAATAGATATAATTAGGTTTATCCTAGTTGTCCAAAAATTAATCAACTATTTTTTTCTGTGCAATTTCTACTGAACTCAGATGGACTGGCTGGAGGCCCAGAATGTCAGTCACGAAGTGCACAATGTGACCACGGCGGATGGCTATCAGCTGCAGGTGCAGCGTCTGCCGAATCTGGGTGCTAAGTCCGTGCTCCTGGTCCACGGACTCCTGGGTTCCTCGCTGGGGTGGGTCTGCCTGGGGCCCGAGCGGAGTTTGGGTAAGCGAATGTGCACTTCCGGGCGTGCACTTGAATACATGTTATATATTGAAGTTAGACTTTACACCGAGAAAAAAACGTCGTGACCTTAACTTAAAGAGTAATAAACTAGAAGTTGTTAAATTTGACTAACATGGTCTTAAAAATATGCCTTCAAGACACATTTAAGGACTGAGGTACTTTTGACGAGCGCCGAAGTCTATAATCAAGAAAAAATTGGGTATGATTGTGTTCTCAAAAAACCAAGTCAAGAACACTTTCCGCTTGATTTCAAGAAGACTTGTACTAGAAAAATTGTAAAAAAAAGTAATGAAATTAAGCAGATTTGGTTTTTTCGTTGTGTATTTGGTTTCACGTTACCATTGGTTTTACATTAGCATTTAGTTTTTATTGGCTAACATTGAATGACACGCTCTGAAATGCCCTAGATTGTAAAACAATAAAAATAAAAGCATTTTGGACTTACTTTAAAATCCCTGTTCATGTTAACAGAATATTTAGCATTAAAGGATTCTTAAGTATTTTTGTATTTTACTACATTTTATTGAATATTTAATCACACTTAAGAAAAATAAGAGAAGATAATTTAACCTAAGTTTGAAGCCTAAGAACCTATCATTGTTAGCCATTTTAACTAAATCATTAAATACCTATAATATTTTTCTACATGCAGCCTTTCAGCTGCACCATCGCTCCTACGACGTGTGGCTGGCAAATCTGCGCGGAGTGGCGCCCTACGGACGGCAGCACATCGACTTGACCGATGTGATGGCCGATTTCTGGCGCTTCAGCTTCCACGAGCACGGCGCCTACGATTTGCCGGCCATAATTGACCACATGGCGGAGGTCACAGGCGGCGAACAACAGGCCCGCGGAGGAGGTGGTGGTCCAGGGGCTGATGAGGAGCAAATGCCGCGCCAGGTGCTGCTAATTGGACACTCGCAGGTGAGCGGTGCGGCTTAGGTGGCCAACTCCCCCTAAACACTGCTCTTAGGCCTTTAATGCGTTCCTGGTCCTCTGCTCGGTGCATCCGCGCTTCAACCAGCGCATTCAGCTGATGCAGGCCCTGGCGCCCCTGGCTCGACTGCATCGCCAGGTGCGCTTCGACTCGTTCCAGGTGCGCCACCTCATGAAGTTTGTCAAGGTAATTACTGAAGTACGTCAAATAGGGTGAAAATGCTACATTCAAGCTAGACAAAACCAAAGCTTCAGTGTTGCATGCAGCATATTTTACAATGCAGGCTAAAATGTTGAGTTTCAGCATCTACTTTATTTAGAGCTGATTTTTCTTTCGAGCTAGACTTTATCTGACTGTTCTAGTTCAAAAAGTCGTTTAAGAAAACGAAACTGACAACAAATAGTTCTCCTTATTTTCATTTTAAAGTTTGTCAGATTATCACTTAATTGTGTGACAACAGACTCTGTAATGATTTGCCGTACATGAAATTATCATCACATTGAGGAACCGAATTTGTTTTTTTAAACAACTTAAGTTCATGCTAACTTTCAGTGACTGTTTGGCTTCAAGTATATATGTAGGGGTGGTGGGGTGGTTTAAATGTTTGTTTTTAAAGCTATTTTTTTATGTTGAGACAGTCTATAAAAAGCTATTTTATTTGAAAGTAATTAATTAATATAATTAAAATCCGACAGTTAAGTTTTCTGCACATTTATTTCTTTGGCTTGTTGTAATAGTTGGCTTTCACAAAAGGCATTTTGGCGACCTCGGCCTCGTAGAACTTGTCGCGAACCTTGTACTCCACCTTCGTGCCAGGTGCCTTTAGGTTCTCCGGTACATAGCCCATGGCAATGTTGCGTCCAGCACTGGGACTCGGGCAACCACTGGTCACCTGACCAATCTGCTGCCCCTGGCTAAAAATGGCCACTCCGGAGCGAGCTGGCGGGGGCTTGGCTCCTAGCATTTGGAGACCCACTCGTCGCCGACTAACTCCATCCTTCAGCTGGCCGAGGATCACTTCGGCTCCCGGAAAATCGCGGGTGGCGCGACGTCTTTTGGCGACCAGCCAGGACAGAGCTGCCTCTACGGGCGTGGTTTTAGAATCAATATCACTGCCGTAGAGACAAAGACCTGCCTCCAATCTCAGTGAATCCCTGGCTCCAAGGCCTGCAAGCTTGAGGATTCCACTCTGAAGAAGGGATTCGGTGAGGTTCTGAACCTGGCTGGATTCCACAGATATCTCCACACCATCCTCTCCGGTGTAGCCACACCTCGTGATCCTGACATTGGGGATTCCAGCCAAGGAGGTGACAAAGGATCTCATAAAGTATACTTGGTCCAGGGAAACTTCCTTTGGCAGAAGTCTGGATAGTTCAGTTGCCACCTGGGGACCCTGAACCGCCACCAGGGATTGATCACTGGGGGTGAGGAACTCGATGGTTACGTCCTTTCCTTGGGACTTGAAGGTTTCCTGGAAAGACATGTGTAAACATGTTATCCTGATAGATCAATACTATGGTATATAAGCTGAACTCACCACAGCTGCGCTCATTATTCCCATGTCCTGCTGCTTCATCGCCGCATTGGAGACCACGTAGAGCTCCTTTTCGCTGACTTTGTTCACGATGAGATCGTCCAGGATGCCGCCCGTTTCGTTGGTAAACACGGTGAGGGTGCCACTGCCATCCGGAGTTCCCAGGATGTCCGCCGTGCAGACGGACTCCAGACAGGCGGCCGCATCCTTGCCGAACACCCGGGTCTGCAGCATGTGCGAGACATCGAAGATGGAGCCCACCTGTCGGGTGTGAAGATGCGAGGCGATGATGCTCTGGTCGGAGTATTGAACCGGCAAGGCGTAGCCTCCGAAATTCACAATTTTCCCGCCTCTTTGCACGTGGAAATCGTAGAGGGCGGTACGCTGACCCTCGGAGGCGGAGGAGGCGTGGCGCAGACTGCCGAGGGCGATGGGAAGTCGGTTGCTTAGCCTGAACATCGCGCGCTTACTGAAGCCCGGATAGAGACTACAGCCAAGATCGGTTTTAGATGGTACACTAAAAAAATATTTGCCTTACATTAAATGAGTATTTTAAATGCAAAATTGCCGGAAAAGATTCGGTCCTTACAAAAAAAATCTAATTTCCCAACACTATGGTACTGTAAAAATAGTAAGTTATAAAAGAAATTATAAAACTAAATCATTTGATTTTTTTCTCTGTAAAACTGATAACGCCCTGACACCGCTTGACATTGCCACAGAGATAGGAAACTAGTGAGTGGGGAGAGGCATTGAGATTATTTTGAGAAGGGATACACTCGGTGATAACCCCCCAGAGCGGCTTTAAATATGATTATGGATCTTGAGTCTGGTGAAAGTGAAGCAAATCAGCTGAGTGGATTCTATTCCTATGGAAAATTTGTATAAAGAGTAATGCTTTTGCATTGGAACTTGATTGCTGTTTAAAAAGTTGGTAGCTTGGTTCTGGGGTTATTCCTTTTTAATATAATAAACATTTTTAAGACATATGTGTAATTTATGTTTTTTTTTAATTCAGTTAAAAACTTTCATTTTCCTTCTTTCAGAAACGCCAAAAAGGAAACCAGTTTGAAATCTTTCCACCTGGCTATTTTCGAAAAATATGTCAAAGCAAGCGAGATCTTTGCGAATATTACACTAAGCAATTGGCAGGCAGCTCCCAAAGCAACAAAAAGGTAAAATATTATATTAATTGCAAGGAGAATAAGAACAGTTTATTTAAAGAACTATGTCCATAGCTACTGGAAGCCTTTAACTATGAACATCTTCTGCAAGGCGGTTCAGCAAGAGAGATAAGACACCTACAGCAGATATGGAAATCGGGTGACTTTATTTCCTACGATTTCGGACCAGTGGAGAATATGCAGATATACCACGGCGTGGAGGCCCTTAGTTACAATATAAGCCAGATCACTGTGCCGATCATCTTGTACTTTGGGGAAACCGATGCTATAGCTACGCCGGAGGGAGTTCATGGAATATATGCCAGAATGCTGAAGTCGGTGAAGAGTGTGAGGAGGATTAACTCCCCGAAGTTCAACCACTTGGATTTTCTTATTTCCAACGACATTAAAACCCTGGTCAACGACAAATTAATTGAGCAAATGGAACAGTTTTTCGAGGGGCGATTGCCGTACGTAATTGAATGACCGCCAAATAAAAGGTGTCGTCAAAGGCGTTCATTGAAACCCATTAAAATAGAAATGACAAAAAATAATTGACCAGCGAAATGGTTTATTTGCCTTGGCAGTCGTCCAAAATGCCAATTATGTAATGCGGTAGCCAAACCATAAAAAATATACATATAGATGTATAATTCCAAAAGGCAGCCGCCACAACTGGTCGACACTTTTACTTTCTTTTGATGGCCAACAAAAACAGTATCTGTTTCCAGTGCCTTTTGTGCGGCTTTTGGCCAAAAAGGTTTGGGTTATTAAGTCATTTTGATGGTAAAACGAAAGAAGAAAAATAATGATAATTACCTTAATGGAAATGTTTTGACTGGCTTTTCAATATTGGGCGGTATACAGCTGATAAGTAATGTAATTTTAATAACATAGGTATTGATTGGCAGTTATTGACGAATTAATTTTAATTTATAAAATAAAACTTTCGCAATTTCTATTATTTTTACACATGTGACTAGGAAATAAGACTATTGTGTGTAATACTTGTGTGTCATGTGAAATGATAAAAACAGTTTTTTGGAGTTACGTCAGTTTTGTGTGATAAGATAATTTGAACATGGTTACAATTGACAGTTGATTACATATCCGACTCGATGCTTCACTGTACTGCTACTCTTGAAAAGTTTCTTGTTTCCGACTGTTACGCCCTACGCATCCGAAATTTAGCCTCCCCCCTCGAGGCCCTCTTTCGTACCCATATTTAATTAACTGGCCGAAAACGTAAAACACAATCGAAATGTAAACAAAAGAAGCTAACACGTCACAGTACGCAATGTTGTTGTCTGATCGAAAGTTTTTCGTATTTCGGCATTCTTTTTTATTATTTTTTTTAGTTGCTGCAGGGCCTTTGCAGAAGTTCGTTGATGTGGTTTTTGTAACCGGCGCGCTGGCCTGAACCATTGACAGTCTTCGAATTGGTCTTCAGTTGGGTTCGCGTCGCGTTGCGTAGAGGTTGAGGTTGAATTTCCGAGAGAGTCGCTTCCGTGAAAGTGAAACCATCCGAAATTAGTGGCCAAATCAAGATGCGGTGCAGCCTGAGGATGCGGCTGATCCTGCTTTTGGGGCTCTGTGTGTTCATCTGCAGGACTCAGGGCCAGCTGATTGGCGGCGAGGAGGACGAAGAGGACGAGGAGGAGGAGGAAGAGGAGGAGGAGAGCGTCGAGGACGAAACGCTGGAGGAGCGACTGCAGCGCAAGAACATCAAGCAGGACTCGACCCTCAGCGTGGTAGGAAAATAAGGACTTCCAAGACTGTAAAGTGCAGGGAAATAAGGGACATTCATATGTTTATTTTACAACAAAAATATTTTTAATTTTAACCGAGATTAGGGTTACAAAAATTATTTAGTTAAATTGAATGAATCCAACTATGGTAATTTGTAATATTTTCATTATCCATCCTATACAAAAAGGCCTAGGTTTAGGTACACAATTTTGGAATTTAATTTTCTTTAATTAAAAAGCATTAACATTTTACGCAAAAAGTCACTTATGTATAAGCCAAAAAGTATGTAATTTCTTATCGAGCCACTTAAATTTTTGATTCTTTTAAAATAATATTTTAAAAATGTTTATCATGCATGTTCAAAAGTTTAAATATTATTGAGTTCGAATTTGAATTTGTTTTAAAAAAATTGAGTCAATATGGTTTTATGATCTGAGCTGTTATAGAAATACAAATTGAATTAAACACGAAAGCTTAGAACAAAACATTTAAACCGTTTAAGCATTATCATTTGTGCAATTCGAATTCAAGGCAAGTGAAAACCGTAACGGGGTTGTATATATTTTAAAAGAGTTGGTTCCTTCTTACCTTTTCCCTTGGAAACAGCAATTAATGAACCAAAGTGGAGATTATTCCGCAGCTCCTCATTGTCATCGCCTCTCACACATTTCGTCAACAGGACAAATTAATCGCCAAGTACGGCTACGAGGCGGAGGTGCATCATGTGACCACCGAGGACGGATACATCCTCACCATGCACCGCATCCGCAAGCAGGGCGCCCCGCCCTTCCTCCTCCAGCACGGACTCGTGGACAGCTCGGCGGGATTTGTGGTAATGGGTCCCAACGTGAGCCTGGGTAAGTGCATCCGCATCGTCCGTGATTAATGGCCAAGTGATTACGACCGAAGCCCACTTTGCAGCCTACTTGCTGGCCGACCACAACTACGATGTTTGGCTGGGGAACGCGCGGGGCAACCGCTACTCGAGGAACCACACCACCCTCGACCCGGATGAGTCCAAGTTCTGGGACTTCAGTTGGCACGAGATCGGCATGTACGACCTGCCCGCGATGATTGATCATGTGCTGAAGGTCACCGGGTTCCCGAAGCTGCACTACGCCGGCCACTCGCAGGGCTGCACCTCCTTCTTCGTGATGTGCTCCATGCGGCCCGCCTATAACGCCAAGGTCGTCTCCATGCAGGCCCTGGCCCCCGCCGTTTACGCCAAGGAGACCGAGGACCACCCCTACATCAGGGCCATCAGCCTGTACTTTAATGTGAGTATTGTGTGGAAGATGGTTTCATTGGGGTTTTTGATGCACTGATAAAGAAGTGGAAAAGCACAACATATATTTAATTGCATGACTTAATATGGAAATATGAAAATAAATGTGGACAATATTAATATTATTCACTTTAAACATTTTACGTCATTAAAAATATATTTCGTATTAAAAACTTTAATAATAATAAAATTCTATATGGATGATAGGATGCTAAGCAGCATAAGCTTTTCCGTGCCTGGTAGGTCTTTAAGGTCATTTGGACCTTTTTTATTCCGGCCTATAGAGCAAATTGTGCTTTTAATGAGCCTCTGTGTAGAGCCTTATTCTACTGGAACAAACTTCCATCTCACATGCGGCTGGACCCATGCTCCCCCAGAGAATTAATTAAGAAAACCCTATACAATTACCTTTCGTCCCTTAGTATTTAGTTTAGTTATAGTCAAGTAGCCAGTTAAGGTACCAACTGTTGGCGAAATAAATAAATAGTTTCGAATAATTTCGGACTCAATCATCATGTTTAGATAACATAAGGTTTTGAACTAAAAATATGAATGCATTTTCAAGGCTCAAAACACACATTTAGTTTAGCATGAGAACGAAAGAAATGCCTTATTACCATAAGTATTAGGTGGGTCATTTTAAGGAATCTCTTGAAATTGATAATAAATTCTATTTAATATTTAAACAGGTTCTTCATTTCGCCTGGAACTATATTTAGATTACTTTAAAATAATTGTTTAATTGACTGCTGGGACTTAGACTCTACATTTTCTTTTTTTCCAAGTCCTAAAAATAATTTAGATGTTACATGCACTGACTTCATTTATATATTTCAGAGCCTGGTAGGCAGCTCGATCAGGGAGATGTTCAACGGGGAGTTCCGCTTCCTGTGTCGCATGACTGAGGAGACCGAGCGCCTGTGCATCGAGGCTGTGTTTGGTATCGTGGGTCGCAACTGGAACGAGTTCAATAGGGTAAAATTATACCACAATTATTAAACAAAAAATTTAATATTAAAATTTATTTTAGAAAATGTTCCCCGTAATCCTGGGTCACTATCCGGCCGGAGTGGCTGCCAAGCAGGTGAAGCACTTCATCCAGATCATCAAGAGCGGCCGATTTGCGCCGTACAGCTACAGTTCGAATAAGAACATGCAGCTGTACAGGGACCACCTGCCCCCGCGTTATAACCTGAGTCAGGTGACCGTGCCCACCTTCGTGTATTACTCCACGAATGATCTGCTGTGCCACCCCAAAGATGTAGAGTCCATGTGCGATGACTTGGGCAACGTGACGGGGAAGTACTTGGTGCCGCAGAAGGAGTTCAACCACATGGACTTCCTCTGGGCCATCGATGTGCGGAAAATGCTCTACCGGCGTATGTTGCAGGTCCTTGGAAAACTGCCTGAGGACAAGCATGAAGAGGCTAATCGATCCAGGCGATCAGTTCGTGGCAGAGCGATACTATCTTAAGTACCTGAAAATGTTTGAAAATGTTTCTCTCATATATTTAAGTATTTATTTAACCAATAATTATAATTAGTACATTACACTATAGGATTTGTTTTTATAGAATTGGGAGGAGAAATTATATTTGTATTAAAATACAGAAACCTTTTGACACCAAATTTCATATTTATTTATTTATTTGCTCTTCGCTGCACTTTGCTTTAAATATGGAAAGGATGCCCCTATTTGCATAGCATTTCAAATTTTCAAGTATACATGGGGAACTTGAGCGGAAACGGAAGTCAAGTGTTTCTTTCGCCCCACAAAAGCCGTAACAGATTTTGCATCAGCATCAGCCAGCTGGCGGGCCAAGATACATGCATTTGTAAGCAGATTTCCTGCGAGCACAATTTTCCATTTTCCCCAGCGACTGCTAGTGGGCCAACAGCTGACACCGGGGCTAAGAAGCTGCCGCTTTTCCTGCTTTTTCCGTCCCCATTTATATTTTCTTGGCTTTTTCGGCCCACATTGTCTAGCCATTTGCATTTCTGTGGAGCTCAGCTCCGCACATCTGCGCTTTTCCTGATACACCAGCAGCCAAGTTAAGTGAAAAACTGTGTCTAAGTTGGCGACAACGGGGTGGCACGTTGCCCAGATCGACCCAACTTGAAAGGCTCGAGAGCGGCAGATAGAATAAGCTAGTTATCAGTTTTCTAAACACGAAAATCATAAGCCAACGCAGCGCGAAAGTATAAGCTACCAGTTTTATTCTAAGAAAATCTGAAGTATAAATAATTAAACACACCAGAAAATATTATTCTTGTTTGTTATTGTTACACGAATGTGACGTATTGCTGTGGTCGTCATAGCAGGTGAAAAAAATATGCAAATTTTATCATGCCTTGATTAGGCAAATTAATTGCTAGAAAAATATAGACTCGAACAAAATGGAATAACTAAATGCGATGTCACAATACCCTATTGTTGAGGTGCACTTATTTCCTACAATTTGTTGAATGATCTGCAGAAATGCGACAGGGAAAAATCTTACAGTCGAAGGTAAGTTTGAACTATTGTATATTGTAAGTCTTCATTTTTAATGTAACTGAATCTATTATTTATATTGTAAAACATTTTCCGACTGGGCTTAATTTTAAAAATTTTAGTTTATACACTCTCTTTCTTTTCTACAAGAATTGATTGACCTTAATTCTTGTATCTGTTCACAGCACGTGCTATATTTTTAGACTATTGTGAATCCCCTAACCAAAATAGCACCTCCCAGACGCAAAAAATGATGATAAGTGCAAAGAAACTCGTTTCCCCCATCTTTTTTGAATTAATGAACAAATAAAACGTCACCAATTTTTCAATTTACAGGTTAACCTCTTTTAAAGTTTTATAAATGTAACTTAACCACTTTGTTCAATTACACTTAGGTAAATTAAAAATTTAAAATGAGGAATTTATATTTTATCAATTAGAATATTTGGGAGATCTGTTTCTATCAGATAACTAAATTAATTTCGATAAATAAAATTTAAAATCATAGAAGCGAAGCTCTACTGTAATTGCAATGACGTCTTTACCACTAGGCGCATTTTCGGTTCTATAAAAGCTAGTCGATTTTTTGGAAAGTAGTTAGTGACTTTGAGACAATGATTCCCACGGGATTGTTATTACTTCTGACTGCCTGCTGTGTGTCCCTGGCATCCGCCGGATTTGGCCTGGGCTTCGGTGGCGGTGGCCTTGGACTGGGAGTTGATAGCGGTGGCTCTTCTGCCCAAGCAAGTCTTCCTGGATTGAATCTGGGTGGAGGATACAATAATGGAAATCCGACTGGCCTTTCTGCCAGCGCATCACATAACACTGGATCTTCTGGATCGATTCTGCATCAGGCTGCCAACGGTCTGCTGGGCGCTGCAGGAACTGGAGCCAACGTAGTCCACTCGGTGGGATTAACTGCAGCCTCTCACGGGGCTCAGGCCGCCAATGGACTGCTGGAAGCAGCAGGAGCTGGAGTCAATGCTGTTCACTCTGCAGGATCAACTGCAGCCAATCACGGAGCTCAGGCTGTAAACGGTCTTTTGGGAGCAGCAGGATCTGGAGTCGATGTGGGGCATTCTGCAGGATCCACTGCGGCTTCCATTGCGGCTAATCACGTGCACAATGTCGCCTCTGGAAGTTCAGCTTCCCTGGGTCCTGAGCATTTGAGTCATTCAGACTCTGCTCCATTGCACTCCGATCACATAAGTATCGGATCCTCTGGCAGCAGTGAATCCTCCGGAGTTACAGGTGCTAGTGGCCTCCATTCCAACTCCGGTTCAGCGACCATTGGAGCTGCTAACGCAGTGCTAAATGCAGCGGGATCTGGAGCTTCAGGATCAACAGCTGCCGCCCATGGAGCTAAGGTTGTCAATGGACTACTAGGAGTGGCAGGAACCGGAGCCAATGTGGTACACTCCCCAGGATCCACAGCAGCATCCCATGGAGCTCAGGCCGTTAATGAAGTTCTAGGAGTGGCAGCAACTGGAGCCAATATGGTACACTCCCCAGGAGTAACTGCAGCATCCCATGGAGTTCAGGCCGTTGATGGAGTTCTAGGCGTGGCATCAACTGGAGCCAATGTGGTACATTCCGCCGGATCAACTGCAGCATCTCACGAAGCTCAGGTCGTCAATGGAGTTCTAGAAGTGGCAGCCACTGGAGCCAATGTAGTCCACTCTGCAGGATCAACTGCAGCATCTCGTGGAGCTCAGGCCGTTAATGAAGTTCTAGGAGTGGCAGCAACTGGAGCCAATTTAGTCCATTCTGCAGGATCAACTGCATCATCTCACGGAGCTCAGGTCGTTAATGGAGCTCTGGGAGTGGCAGCAACTGGAGCCAATGTACTCCACTCTGCCGGTTCAGTTGCTGCCTCCCTAGGAGCTAAGGCAGCAGATAAAGTGGCCAGCGGAATTGTTGACAGTGCATCTTCCGGTCATTTAACCATTGGGTCGTCTGGCATTTCGAGCTCCAGTTCGCTGGACACCAATTCTGGCTCTGCTTCGACTGGCAATGGACACCTAAGCTTAGGTACTTCCGATGCTAGCTCTGCCAAAATAACTGCCGATCACGCCAGTATTTCCTCTTCCTCGACTGGTTCTCAGCATTCTGGATCTGTACAGGCTGGCTCTGCCAAGATCACAGCTGGACATGCCAATATCGGATCTTCTGGAAGCAAGGTGGTTGCCTCCAACGCCGCAACTGTCAGAGGTGGTCATCTCGATGTGGGTACCACTGGATATAGTGCAATGCAAGGCACCTCCACATATCACAAGGTAGAATCTTCGAAGATCTCAGTCGGACATGTGAACATCGCATCCGCTGGAGGATCCACATCCGGCGAATCCACTAGTCAGCTTGGAGCATCAGGTGCAACTGGTCCTGCATCTCTGGGACTCGAATCTGCTGATCATCTGAGCATTGGTTCATCGGCAGCTGGCTCCCATGGGGTCGGAAATTTGAACATTAAGAGTTCTGAAACAACTTATTCATCGAAAACCCAATCATCCAAGTTCAGTGCTAGTCATGCTCATATAAATTCTGGATCTGCATCTATCGGTGCCTTTGGAACACAGGCAGGATCTGCCCATATCAAGACCGAAATCAAAAAAATGGAATCATCATCTTTGCACAGCGGTTCAGGCGCTGCCACTTCTGGATCTTCTCAAACTGCATCGAATCCTGTACCTCTTGGGATTGGACAGTTGAATATTGGTACTTCGGAATCTACTGACTCCGGCTCAGCTTCCCTTGATATTGGCCATCTAAACATTGGAACTACTGGAGTAACTGATTCCAGTTCAAAGGGATCTCCATCTGGTCACTTGAGCAGCGGATCATCCGGAATCTCAGGATCTACTGGTTCTCGTGCAGAATCTTCAAAGATCAGTGCCGGACATTTGAGTATCGGGTCCTCTGGAAATACCGCCGCTAGTTCTTTGCACAGCGGTGCCGGATCAATTTCTCTTGGATCTGGTGGCCTGACAGTCGGAGCGAATGGACACAAATCCACAACATCTGGTTCAGTTGAATATACTGGTGCCCATGAGGCTGCATCTCTAGCCCACGGTGTTGCCAGCGGACTGCTGGGACCAGCGGCGGGATCGGAAAGCCTCTCTCTTGGAGGTAACACAGCATCCGTGGGGCCGGATGGCACTCCAGGAGGCTATCATAAGGGAAGTGTCGGTCTCAATGGAAACGGTCTTAGCCTCGGGGGAAATCTAGCTGGAAATTCTGGTAGTGCCGGTCTTGGCTTTGGCGGCGGTCACATTGGTGGATCCATTAACCGAGGTGCTGGACTTTTCCTTGGCTAACTTAAGTAGTATTTGCACTTTAATATTTGAAGTATTCCTTAGTATTGAAAAAGTAACTTCGCAATATTTAGAAGAGATCAAAACAGTCCAGATAAGAAAAATATATGTATACATTAACATTTTCATGTAAATATGTATAACCGATACTTGAAGAGGGACCATTATTGACGCCACAAAGAATTTACATTAATTCTTTATCAGGATAACTGGTACATGCTAGTTCGTCACCAAATGTTGAAAGTTCACAAAAGGTGACATGCAAGATATTCCTCTGTGTGAGTTTGACAGGATGGTATCTGGCCAAAATCCCAGCGTTCGTTTACTTTTATAAAATGATAAAAAAAAGATAGACTTTAAAGTTAAGATTTGCGTTATTGATGAAATAAACGACCCTTTAGGAAGGAGTGGATCTTTCCTTTTAATAATATGTTTACAACTTTGATATTCTTGGCTTTCCACTTAAGATAACAGAGCCACGGCTTTTATAATGTCTGGAACACAAATCTGCAACTAGTTAATCATTTTCGGGTAAATGATCCTTTACTCGTATCCGCTTTAATTACATCACTTCGTTTCAATGAAACGAAGTGATCGATAAGCGAGTGCCGTCGTCCCAATATTGATCGTTTGTGATCGTTCCAGTATACTTACATTCACGATCGTTTGTGTTCGTTCGTCTTTAAAAAAAAAAGTAAAAAAATTAAATTTAAACCGAGGGCCGCGACATCAACGAACCGGCTAGATCGGGCGAGCCCGAAGACAATCTCACCGCCAAACGGCACAGCTGAATCAAACATCGATGTTTTATCGATACTATCGATATTTTCCAAAACTCGTCGTTTTCACTTCAGACGTGGTTATTTCCAACTTTAATTGTGTTTTGTGTCAATAAATAAGTTTAATACTTCCATTTTGTCGTTGGATTCAGGACAGCTGGAGACGATGGACAAGTACCATAAAGTAAGTTAAAAGAATGTACATTTTATACTGCATACATGTGTTATAAGTTATGTTTAAGATGGGCCCTCATAACATGAGAGCGTTAGAAATGCCATAGAATTTTATATTACTTCAAACAGAGTAACGGGTATCTGATAGTCGAAGCACTCGGTTGAATATGAATAAATACAAAATCACAGTAAAAATTAAGTATGCATTACATTTGTTATGAGAAACGGAAATGCTTTAGCTGTTTGTTAGTCAGAAAAGTTAAAGTAAAGTTAAAGCTCAAAGTTTAAAGCACTAGAGCCAAATCTACAGACTTTATTTTAAGATTTAAGATGTTTATAATGCGACACATCTGAAACAAACTTAACCATGAAACGCTTGCCTTAATTTAATGCTGCTATAAAATACGATTAGTACGTTCTTGAACAACATGTAGGTACAATAAAATTGTTTGCAATTTAATCTTTACTATGTTCCTTGAAAACGTTTAATATTTTTATATAATTCATCAATGTTTTTTACGTTTGTTTAGTACCCTATCAAACCAGAGTGACGTAGACCTCAAGGGTCATTGTCGTAACCATCGAACGCCTACAAATATCATATATATGAAAATCAATCTAATCTTGGGCGAGTCGAGAGTCAATGCAGCAATTTCCGAAGCAAATGACGATTAAATTTGTTTACATAAGATTTAGCGATTTAATACTGGATTATGACGATATTTATATACTCTTTCTACCTTGGTACCTAATGTTCAACCCATTTTTCATCTTTTCTTCGAAATATACTTTTCTGTTTATTTTGGATTGAACAATTGAAATCGGCGTTTGCTTCATTAAGTTAATTCATCGATCATTCTTGATGATGGCTATCATGAATCTCCCACGGGTTGAACACGCCTTTCAAACATTCGGTTCTCCTTAGGGTATAGTGTAATTTCCAACAGTAGACAATCGAGAATATTAAATTGTATTGGAACTTGTTATTGTTCTCCGCGGGAGCTAATTACACTGTGCAACATTCGTACGCTATGGTTAAAACAAATATTATTTTTTGTGTGGTGGCATTTTTGACTAAAAATATTTTTTGATATTAATAAGTTATGTGTTCTTTAAATAGTTATATGTTTTTATTTTTTATAAACGTAGGAAAACATGTAGATATTAAAGAATAACTTATTTTAATAATATATCAGCTGTGAAATATTGGATTATCGCCAAATATAATTATTTAAAAATAAATTTGTAAACATGCCAATATTCTTTGTGGCCCAGTGCAGTCTGAGTTTTGCCTGGCTGACCCTAGGATCTCAGCACTCAGAACGTGACTGGCTTTCTGTTCTTTTTTCGCGCTCTGCGAAATTTCAGCAAGTATTTTGCTACTACTTGTGCTTTTTGCAAGCCGGTGAGTCTCCTATAAAAGCCGGCATCTTTCTAGGGAGCACAGTTAGTGAGCTGCAGGCAAAGGTTCCGATGCGTCTGTTTGTAGTGCTAAGTGTTTGTGTGGCTTTGGCCTCCGCCGGAGGGTACGGTGGTGGCGGAGGAGGTGGTGGTGGAGGATACGCCGGGTCCTCCGCTTCCTCGTCTGCTTCAGCCGGTGCGATTGGAGGCGGTAAACTGGGCGGAGGCTATGGATCCGGAGGTCCCGGTGCCGGAGGTCCAGGCTCCGGAGGTCCCGGCTCCGGAGGTCATGGATCCGGAGGCCACGGAGCTGGCGGTTTCGGCTCTGGAGGAGATTTCGGTGGAGGCCTAAGTGGCGGATTCGGCGGTGGCGGCGCTGATGCCTCGTCGAGTGCTGGAGCTGCAGGCGGTGGACTGTCAGGCGGTTCCGCTGGAGGTCCCTTTGGAGGTGGCGGTGGAGGTCATTCCGGCGGTGGAGGCGATATTTTCGGCGGAGGTGGTTCGTCTGGAGGAGGACATTCTGGCGGAGGAGGCTCTATTGGAGGTGGCCATTCCGGAGGAGGAAATGGAATTGTTGGCGGTCCTGGACTCGGATCAGGTGGAGGATTCGGAGGTGGAGGTGGACACTCCGGCGGAGGCGGATTCGGTGGAGGAGATGCTCCTTCAATCGGACCTGGTGGCGGAATCGGAGGAGGCGGACACTCTGGAGGTGGCGGTCATTCCGGCGGAGGCGGCCTAGGTGGAGGAGATGCTCCTTCAATTGGACCAGGTGGAGGATTGGGCGGCGGCGGAAGCTCTGCTTCATCTTCAGCTGGTGTTATTGGTGGCGGCCACGGAGGCGGTGGAAAGCCAGGAGGCGGCTTTGGAGGCGGCGGAGGACCGGGCTTCGGACCAGGTGGAGGAGTCGGCGGTGGAATCGGAGGAGGTGGAGGACATTCCGGAGGCGGAGGTCACTCTGGAGGAGGCGGAGGTGGTCCCGGATTTGGTCCAGGACCAGGTTTCGGCGGAGGCTTTGGACCCGGAATTGGAGGCGGACCCGGTGGCGGACACTTTGGAGGAGGTCTTAGCGGCCACAAGCACGGAGGGCATGGAGGCGGTGGCGGATACAAAGGTGGACCGGGAGGCGGCGGTGGATTTGGAGGCGGAGGCGGTGGCGGAGGCGGAGGTGGTGGCTACGGAGGCAAACCTGGAGGCGGCGGTGGCTATGGAGGCAGTCCAGGCGGCGGTGGTGGCTATGGAGGCGGCGGGGGTGGTGCCTACTCGAGCGCCTCTGCTTCTGCCAGTGCGTCTGCGGGTGCCGGCGGCGGAGGTGGCTACCATGGCTAGACGCAGTTACCCCAAGTCTAATATCCTGTAATTCCCCAAATCGATGAAAGTATTACGCCATTTTCAATAAAACGATTACCTTTTTTACAACACAAGTAAACTTTAAGAAAAACTTCTGTATTACTTTGGGGTATTTTACAAAATTTGGGAGTGACCATTGTTCCTCAATATTTAAATATTATCCCCCAGAAGATATTGCCACTTTGCTTTAATGCTCACTTAATAAATATTTTTCATGATCTTAAACTTACAGAATTTATATAGATCCATCTGGCTTTTTGCTCTTTTTTCTACTTCGGGAGTTTTGAATATTGAAGTGTCGCCTCTAACAAGAATAATTCTTGGCCCGTACTCGCTCTTTTCTCCCTTATTCGATTTGAGAAAATTTTCAAGGAGATTCAAATAACTCTCAATAAATTTACCAAGCGAATATCAAATTGATCCTTATGTTCTTTTGAGTAGATAAAAAATCACCACGTAATTTTATCAAAAAAACCTTTTATTTTAATTATTAAAAATATAATTAATTATATTAATCACATAATAAAACCCACAAAGAGATCATTTAATCTTTAGTCAGCTGTGACGTGAAAAGTGTGAAAGTAACGTTATGTCCTTGATGGAACCCATTTTCTTGAGGAGCGGTGGTCGACCATTAGGACACGCGGAGGAAAACTTTCCCCCTGTTTGGCGGTTGGGAAATCTGGCATGCAAAGTTTCCACCAAAATTAATGGCCTATTTGAGGGGACCGCGGCATGGGGTTGTATTAGCCCCAACCGAAGACATTGATGCCACTCATGGCCACATAAATCTCTTAAATGGCCAAGACAGACTGCGTTCCTCTGGAATTTTATGTGTCCCCCACAAACATTTATCATTAAGTAAAGTTTTACTATTGCAAATTGTTGCACACAATGGCAACAAATTGAAATCTTAAGCAAGCTCCTTTGCCTTTTGCCTCAGCTTTGGCTTCGGTCTCAGGCTGAAAGTGCACTTTTATTGCCGGAGGAGCAGCATCTGCTCTCGGAGCCCGGAGTCTGGAGTCGGTAGTCGGCAGTCGGTAGTCGGTAGTCCGTGGTCCAATGTCCGGACCCGGCAATAAACTCCGAGACCAATTTGCACAAGGACGATGAACCCCTGTGGTGCAGTTTTGCAACATAAAAGCGGAAAGGCGGAAGTCGGGCCAACAGACTGTTGGCGGTTTGCCACAGAGTCGCTGCTGCAACAGTTGTTGGCCTTTGTAGAATTGACAATATGGCCGGGCCCTTTGTTTGCTGCAATTTATGTTTGGCAATAAAATAAATGTGAAATGTTTATCAATGCCCATTCGGGTTTTTCAACTAAACGCAGCTCATCTCAGGTGGAACCTCGAAGTATGCAGCACTCGGTTTCGTTTTCGAAAGCGATCTCCCACCAATTCATGGCCCGAAAATAGGCAATAAACCTTTTTGGCTCGCTCGTTGCCAGCCAGCATTTAATTAAAATTAAATAATTCAGATTGCATATCCATATCGACACGGTTGCCAAATGGTTTTCTGGTCAGATCGCTTTGTTCATTAGCCCGCTGGCCGCATAATTGAAAAGTTTGCCCTGCCTGGGCGCGGGTAATTCAATTTGCGGAGTGGAGTGGGCCGGAAAAACTACGGAAATCGCCAATAACAATAAACGGCGGCTAAAATGCGAAAATATTACAGAGCACTGATTACCGTGCGCGTGTGTGTTTACATAATTAACATGACGTTCATTAGTTGGCATTTTAATAATATTTCATGTCGTCATGGCTCTGGTTCTGATTCCACCGCATCCCAGCCCGCTGGCTAATGTGATAATTTTCATTTTGGCCAGGCTCAAATTATTTCTATTTGATTGATTTTAATATACAAATATTTGCCCTCGCAGTTCATTATTAAAGTGCTCTGGCTATTTATTTATCGAAATGAATATCCACTTGGAAGTTATAAGCTTGGAGCGACAGTTTAGGCAGCTAATTATGTAGAGTCTGGAACTATTATTTGCCAAAAAACTTAAACTCGAGCAATTCATTTCGATACTGCGCCATTTCAAGGCCATTAATTATGCAACACAAAGAAGTCAGTTCGGGAAAAATCACATAATACCCAAAGCTCGGGGGCTTATATGAATACTCAAAAGGCCTCACCACAAATGTGGCAAAAAATATATAAATACAATTAAATATACGATCCCGGGATCCCCTGACCGGTTCCATTAGGCGATTATGTTACGCGCTTTTTGCATAAGCCAAAAACGAAAACAATATTCAAATCGCCGGCAAATGAATGCCTTTATTTACTAAGAGTCCAAAGTGCAAGATAATCTAGTTTTTTCTGCGGATTTACCACTGATTCAGTCAGCCCCCCAAAAATCACCGAGTTCTAACTACACCGCTAATTCAATTTTCACAAATTTAGACCTGGAAAACCCCTTTGGACATGAGTCGCTAATCGCCGATCTCCTCTGAAAAGGAGGGAACTCAAAGTTTGCTGAGTGACGACACTAAAACAGGTTTCGCCGGCTCGTATTCATATTCTAAAAAGAAATGATATTTGTGTTTGTTGTTTTATTAATTAACAGTCCCTGAAATCTTGTTCGCTGCGCATGGAAGACTTTATTGTTATGAACTGTTAAGACTCAGATCTTTAAGGCCCCGAATTATGGGGATTTTGCGATTGCTATCGTGTGCTACCTCATTAAAATGTGTGATTTTTTCCGCCTAATGATCGGTGTAAACATATCAGATTGCTAAGAGATTGTAAACTTAAAGTAGTCATGAATGAGAGATTTCACTCTCAGATTATTTTTTACTCATTGCAAACGTAAGTACTATATTTATTTGCACCAATGAAACTAATTACACTTTATTGAACTCAAAGCATTTGTTGTATTTGAATCGGGATTTTCGTTTAATCTACTTCTTTTAGTTTAAGTGGACTTTAACTAGATAAGTTGACAATGCTTAATTTTGATTTTTAGGACTTTATATAAATTAATCTATGATTAAAGGTTTTTATTGGTTATATTTTTTGTGTCGAATTTTGTGTAAAACACATATTAATGGAATTAATATTATAATATTATATAAGGATCATATACGTAGTGCTTGAGTCACAGGATTTTGTGCACAGGAAAAAACATCTCAAAATTTAAAAATCTCAAACATGTTGCACGATCGGAACTGAAGACTTTCTGACGTGGACTGAGCCATCTCTTGTGCAGAATAGCCGCGAAACCTAGAGAAATGCCCAATAGCCGCCGGCGATCTGTCAGTGATCTCACCTTCTCCAACTGGCTCACTCCAATCGAGCAGCGTATGAAAAACATCGTCTTCGAAACCGCTTTCTGGCGAACAAAACAATATAGAGGGGAATAAACTCTTCAAGATGAACTTGTCAGTTGATCGGCATTAGACGAAATCAACCGGCGCAAAGTACTCTTGATCTCGGTGGGGAACTACGCAAATCAGGAAGACTTACGTATTGTATCGGCAGAGTTTATAAACAAGCTGGCAGTCTTCTTCCAAACTCCAGCACCTGGGTCACCTGTTGGTCGTGGGTCGATATTTATGCGCTCTTATAAGAGCGTGTTTGGGAATAACCCGTCAAACGAAGTCATCAAATCGGTTGGTAACACTATACGACAAATTTGTTATACTCTATTATTTTAATTTTATTTTTAACCCTTGGAGAGGGTATTGTTTTGGTCTCAGCCAAAGAGACGTTTCCGGTTCCAAGTAAGTTGTCATTTCAAAATATTCGGTTACGTTAGTGTATTATTTTTACTATTTTAGTCACAATTTAATTTGGTAATCAAAGGGTATTAAATCTTCGGCTTCCCGATCTTATGTATCTTTCGTTCTCCTTTTTCTAATATTTTCTACACAGTTTTAATTGACTATTCACATTATTATAACGTTTTATTTATAACATTTTTCTTTCGTTTTCAAAAAAATATTCTTTTAATTGATGAATGCCAAATTAATCATGGTTTATTAGTAAATTAAACCAATTTGTTTAAGCAAATTATGTACATCAGATTATGTCATGGGTAAATGTTCAGCATAAAAATGATATTTATGTTGTCCTGTGTAATCAGATCTGAGAGCAAATGGAGTACAATATAAAGAAAACCGGTAGGTGGTCGGTTGATCTGCCGAAACAATTCATCGCAGCCATCTCGCAAATTTATCTCGCCGGTATGTGACGGCTGTCTGAACATCCCAAGTGGTATAAATACTTTAGCGACTCTGCTGAGAATCCGTCAGTTCCAAATCAGACAGTCCACTGATCGCACAGAGAAAATTCATCAGATAAAAGGAGAAATTACGAAATGAAGACCCTTGTTGTTCTTGCATTGCTGATGGCCGTCGCATCGGCCCTACCGCAATTTGGATTTGGCGGTGGTCCCGGATTTGGTGGTCCCGGATTTGGTGGTCCCGGATATGGTGGTCCTGGATTTGGTGGTCCCGGATTTGGTGGTCCCGGATTTGGTAGAGGTCCATATGGCGGAGGATATGGCGGCGGCTTCGGAGGAAATCCTTATGGCGGTGGATTCGGAGGCGGTCCATATGGAGGTGGATATGGAGGTGGACCCTATGGTGGTTTCGGAGGTGGTGGCAGACGTCATGGCGGCGGTGGACGCTTTGGTGGCGGTGGTGGTGGTGGTGGCGGAGGAGCTGCCTCAGCCTCAGCCTCTTCATCGGCCTCTGCAGCAGGTGGTGGTGGCGGAGCTGCCTCCTCTTCCGCCTCCTCATCGGCCTCGGCCAGCGGAGGTGGCTTCTACGGCTAAGCCTGTTTAGAGCGGATGATCTAGAGCTTAAGTTAATATAAATGTTTGAAGAAAGTCTGAAATAAAAATATTTAAAATCCACAAGGATGGTATTTCATTTTTTTGCAAATAAAGAAAGATTGATAGCTTGTCTTTAATATACTTTGCAACACAAAATCAATTCAAATAAAAAAAAGACTGAATAGTTGGGTACCCTGTTTAAAATAAAATGTACCATAGTGAAAATTGCAAACATTTTTACTAAAAAATTCACAAAATAAACCAAAATTATTATAATGAACGGGCTCTAAAGTAGTCGCGGCAAACTTAATAAATATTCAAAATACGTAGGCATGATCAGATTCACTCTCTTTTGAATACTCGTTGATCATATAGAAGGGGCGGTCATGGCTGGTAATCCCGATCAAGACCGTGTATAGGTACTTTATAGTATTGGAAGCGCTGCCTTATACCTGTTAATACTGTTTAAGGAATATAACATACCTTTAACTCTTAGAATAGTGGGTATGCAAATCATTAATAATTTGTGATTGTAATTGTAAAGTATGATATCAAGGGTAAAAATAATTGTACAACAACATATTTTATTATTATTTATATTTTCATAGAGTTTCCTGTTGTGTTTTGAGATTTTAAATTTTAAAATATTGTTACACACTGCAGTGTACTTTATTTTGGCTTTTTGTTACAACTATTGATTTCCAATTGAAATAAGTACAAATTCATGTTTTGAAAAAATTACAGATGTAGGGCATCGACAACATTGCTTTTGAATGTCGTACATATTCGCTTCCGATGAGTACTTTTTTGCATAAAATTGCCGTTAATTTATGCATATAAGTCGACAAAAGTAATAAAAATAGTTTCACATGTGTATATTTTTTACAGTTTGGATGTACTTCTCTTGGGTGATGCGGGCTTCGGGATGAAGGACTTTTCAATGCCCTATTGCATGATTATGTACGTAAGTAAAAACCCACAGCATTATTTGGCAAACTTTCAATTGGGAGTCCCCTTATATCGTGGCACTCTTAGCGTCATAGCTTTTTTCATTGCTTCCTAAACTAAACAAACAAAATAAATAAAATCAATCCATTTGAATTTCAAATTTTTTGTTTGTGATTTTGTTGTTTCGTTATCATGCCTCCGGCATTAATTTGAATAATTAACATTTTGAATTTAACCAAATACCGGTTTTAAAACGTTATCAAATATATATGCCGCTTTTCTAAAGCTTAAGTAAACAAACAGATAAAAAGCTGTGTCTCGCAAAAAAAATTTAAAAGCTAAACATCTGGGTAAGAGCAAAAAATTTAGCATAAATTATTGCGGACAGTAAAATCAGTCATCTGCTTTTGATACAATGGAGAAATTTATTTATTAGCCCCTTAGAGATGCTTGAAGTGAACTAGTTCTAGTTAGTATTTGCTTTTTAAAAAATTAAATTCATATTAATGCCAATACTCGTAGGTACATTCGATTTTATAATTCGAAGCTGGATCCAGTTTGCTTGGAAATAATTAATTTTATTGGTTTAAAGATATAATATTAGAACTATAATTTTTTATGGAATAACGTTGTTCCTTTTAAACAGGTTCTGTGTATAATAATTACAAGTATTAGATAATTATCTTAACAAAAAATTCTTTACCCACTATAGCTAGTATTGTTACCAAGAAATAGAACGAAAACATCATGATTATTACTTGACACATAATGAGTCTTGGAAAATAACAGCCACAGTTGGATTAGGATTTTCCATTGAAGACTTTTCGAAAACATTGATCTTGCAGCTTGTTACCTGCTATGATCTGGTAAGAAAACACTTAAAGAAAATAAATCGTTTGCTTACCTGTCCAGAGTCCAGAGAGATATATGACATCAGTGGTCCGAATCCATCGTTATGCTATATATATGGATCTTTTTGGACGGCTGGCGAAGGGGGCGCGTCTGAGGTGCTCTCGAGTTTGGGATTAACCGGTTGCAGTGGGGGATCGAACAGCCGGGTCTATGGAGCGTAGGGTCTGCGATCGTATGCGTACGTTCCGAACCTGCTAATGAGCAGAGCTATGAATATTGATATTTCGTTCTGTTTTTTTTTCGCTGCTTTAGGGAGAACGCGTCAGGGTGGATCACCGAGAGATTTGCGAATCTTTCTCCCCACGCGGAACTGAATAAAAGCCGAGCTCGGCAGTGCAGTGACCAAGTGTGTGGACCACTCTCGAGGAGGCAACAACTCAACATGAAACTATTCGTCGCTCTTTCCGTTCTGGTGGCGGTGGCATCGGCCATGCCCCAATTTGGTGGCGGCAACGCCAACGCGAATGCAAATGCCAATGCTCAAGCCCAAGGCTTTGGAGGCGGAGGCCGTCAAGGATTCGGAGGCGGACCAGGCTTCGGTGGTGGGCCAGGATTCGGTGGCGGACCAGGATTCGGTGGCGGACCTGGATTTGGAGGTGGCCGACCTGGATTTGGAGGTGGCGGCTTTCCACGTGGCCCAGGAGGTGGGGGCAACTTCGGAGGTCGTCCTGGATATGGTAACCCAGGATTTGGAGGAGGCCCAGGATTTGGAGGTGGCCCAGGATTTGGAGGTGGTCCAGGATCTGGAGTTGGCCATGCATGGAACGGAGGCGGCGGCACCTCTTCTGCCACAGCTTCTTCCTCAGCAACGGCCAATAGTGCCGGAGGAGGAGGCGGTGGCTCGGCAACTGCTTCTTCCTCGGCTTCTGCGGCGGCGGGTGGTGGCGGTGGCGGTAGATTCCGCGGTTAGATCAAGCCAAAACTTTTTTGGAGTTAAGCAATAAGAAATTACTGTAAATAAAACAAAAATTAATTAAATGTACAATTTTATTTGTGTTTAATAATGGTTGGCTAATTGACTTTTGGCGTACATGTTTCTACTATCAAAATTACATTTTATACTCGCTAAAAAAAATAAGCAATCGGCATTAACACTAGAGGTGATTTAACTCCGTATGTTGGTATACCTGACTTAGTGATACATGATGGCGTGTATCAATGATTGAAATATCAATAAAAATTATCAGAATTATTAAGTTCAGTTAAATCCTTTAAAGTTGCTCCGATTGATTTTAAAATTACCACAATGGCTTTGCGCGATATCGTTTTTTTTACAGTCTTTTCAATAAAATAATAATTAAATATAAAGTGACTGTCAAAAACTTTTTAAGGTAACGAATTTTACATTTATGACATCATAATGCATCATGAGCGTTCAGCCCACATTCATTAATACATCCCGGATTTGATTGATTGACTGCTTTGATGCTAATCAAAAACACAAATAATGTTCTAGGTCAGAAAGGACTTATTTTTATACCCTTGCAGAGGTTTTTTTACAATTAACTTCTGCTCTTGGAAATATCATTCATTTAATTTTTCAGAATAAAATTTAAAAAATATCAGACAACTATGTTATATATCGGTAAATTAATGGGAATACCGTAGGAAAATTATTATTATCTTGGTTATTTTTGGTCATGTTCGTAGAAGAGAATACAATAATATTTTTGCAGTATTTCAGAAATACGAATATAATTTACTAAAAATGGGATTGCTGCCTAGCAAGGATCGGAAAAAAAATGTCAAAATAATACAAAGTTCAACATATTTTCTTTTTGGTAAACATTATTTTAATATTTTTATAATAATTTTTTAGTTTTCTAAAAATTGGAAAGCCCTGCATAGTATATACAATGCTCCCATGGGAACGGGTAAAGAAACTTTGGCTTCTCGAAGCTAGCTTCCTTTCTTGTTTTCAGTAAATATAAATTTTTGGACGAAATGTCCCAAAACTTAATAGCAAGAAGCTTTTGTCAGCACTGCGATTCGATAACAACCCCGGTGAAACTTATCGATTTTACATGACTGATCGCACGTCCGCAGCTCAAATTATTATTTATATTTCACTAGTCCGGCGCCCAATAAATTTTAATATAAAATGTAAATTGGTTTGAAAACAAACATACACATACATATGTCTATCCACTAGCTAAATATATGTAAATTTTGTAGGGGCTCGTGTGGTTGCCGGTAAATAACAGCAAAATTAATATACAAAAAAGGTATATTTGCTTTGTAATATGGAATATTTTGGTCTGATAGTAGAACAAGGAAGCGCTTGGCGTTAAGTGCTAATTAAAGCAAGTTTTGCGACCTTATAAAAACATATTTGTAATATGGCGAGCCAGATGTGATATGTTTTTATACCCTTGCAGAGAGTATTCTAAGTTTGTTCAGAAGTTTGCAACGCAGTCAGGCATTTTGTATATTTTTTATAAGGATCACTAATAAACAAATGAGGCTTTATACTAATAAAAGCTATCTTCATAAAACTTTCTCAAAAGTCTATTATATATACTTTACTATTCTAATATTACAATATCCTATCGCTCACACAGTAATGTTTGGCAAACAAATATGAATAATATCTTTGTGAACGGCAGTCCAAGTAGTGAGGGATCGCAACGGAACTATGGGCGAGGAGACTACTGTACACTATATATATGCTAGTGAAATGATTTTGAATTAAGTAAATAAATACACTATCTAAAATTTATAAATTCGAGTTGCAATTAAAAGTGACAGTGTGGGTAGAAAGCTAAAACATTTTGCTAAAGCTACCCGAATGAATAAATTTTAGGTAGTGCGTTTATTTACTCAGTTTAAAATCGTTTTTCTTCACAAAAGTTAAAATCAGAACCTTGTTATATTGGAGGTGTGATCGTCACTATTTTTACCTCGTTAAAAGTGGTTTTTGTTTATCTAGGCCTTTTGATAATATTTTTGTCTTCTCTGACGTATATTCTAATCATAGTCGCGTAAAATAAATTCACAATAGAAAATATAAAGGTAGAAAAGATAACTTGTTCTTAACTTTGAAGCCTTTTATAATGTTTGAATTCACAATCTGTCTATTACCAGACTCTGTTGAAAATTCAACAAAAATAAATATAAATATATAAAATATAAAGAAAGAAAGAATGCTTCGACTATCAGACACCCGTTATTCTGTTTCAAATTAAAAAAAAAATGAAATTCAAAGACATTTCTATTAGCTCGGCACACACCAGCGCCACGGCACCTAGCGGATGGTGGCGGTACTAGAGACCAATGTAAAAGCTGCGGTACCTAGCGGACGGTAGCGGTACTACTGACCACATCAAAGCCTTAGTTAGTCATAACTTTTTAAATAACATGCGAATGGTACGTTTCTCAGCATTTAGATAAGTATTGATCAATTTCAATTTACACCTGTAAAAAATCTGCAAAAATGTGGGTGCTAGACAGGTTTTAGCGTTATGGGCTTTTGTGGGTGTTAGAAATAAACTTGCGGTGCGTAAGATGGTTTATAGTTTACGAGATCTCTGCGATCATACAGACAGACTGACATGGCTAGATCGACTCGAATAGTGATCGTGATATATATAATTTATAGGGTCGGAAACGCTTCCTATTTTACTCCACTTGCCCACCGGCACGCAAAAAATTGTTTCAACAGGACGGTTAGTTAATAAGAATGACTCGACTATACCGTTCTCTCTTGCTTCTTTTTAGGTTTTGTAACATTAAGATGGAGACAATAGAAATACTGCCCTCATGGAATTTAATGTGATTCAAATAATACTTAACTGAGTACAATGTATTAAAATCCCCGTCCAAAGCCGTAATTATAACTATTTCTTCTTTGATGATTTTGTAAAGTACCGTGCTAGGATCATGGTTAAACATTAATAGGCAACCCAGTATGTTTTTAATTCTGAATTTTATGCTTGGATGTTTCTAAATCTCGGAACAGTTATAGTGATTCCACCTCGGCTATATCCATTTCTAAAATCAAGCGTACAAACAGACTAGTGTCGATGGCAAGTAGGGAAGTACCCAAGCAGATTCTGGGATAATTAACTACGTTCGCATCGTTTCCCATCTGAAAGCTACGCGGTGACAGTGCCGAAAATAAAGAAAAATACCGGCTTAATGAAATATAAACACAAATATTATTAATCGTTTAAATATTGATAGCAGCAAACCGGTTCCATAGCAAACCACCACGAACGGGGCTCGTGTTGGTCTAAAGACATTCGCAAACTTTCCTCAGACCATTGCATCTAATCATAGCTTCTATCTAACTCTTTCGGACGCTATCTGTCCCTCTCTGGACCAGGGCCCTGCGTAGATCCCCCATCTGCGGATTGATTTTTCGGCAGTGACTATTGTTTGCATGCTAATTTTTTCCCGAGTGCCGAGGCAAGTTTAGTTTTCAGCTGCCGTCTGCCGCGCGTCTGGCCAATATAAAAGCCGGGCCCTGCGGCGTTGGTTATTAAGTTTGTTCAGTCGCTCCGATCAAGCAGATCACCATGAAGGTCTTCGTTGTTCTCGCCGTTATCCTGGCCGTGTCCGCCGCCGCCCCCCAGTTTGGAGGTAGCAGTTCCAACGCTAATGCCAACGCCAATGCTGAATCTGAAGGATTCAACGGTGGCTTCGGCGGCGAACCTGGCTTTGGAGGTCAAGGTGGATTTGGAGGACCTGGTGGTGGACGTCCTGGAGGATTCGGAGGACCTGGAGCATTCGGAGGACATGGAGGACGTCCTGGAGGATTCGGAGGACCTGGCGGACGTCCTGGTGGATTCGGAGGAAATGGATTTGAAGGAAATGGAGGATTCGGAGGACCTGGTGGATCTGGAGGATTCGGACCTGGAGGATTCGGAAATGGTGGAGCTGGAGGATTCGGACCTGGAGGATTCGGCGGCAATTCAGAAGCTAACGCTAACGCAAACGCTGTCTCAAACTCCGGCGGTTTTGGAGGCGGAAGTGCCAACGCTAATGCCAATGCTGTCGCAAACTCCAGGGGTGGCAATTCTGCAGCCAATGCTAATGCTAATGCTGTTTCAAACGGCAAATAAGCGATTATTATGATCCGAATTTCTCGTTTGATTAGTTTTTTAATATTTATAAAATAAAAAAAAAAACTAAAAAAAGTATTTTATTTGCTAAAGGGTGAAAAGCTCTTACAAGCAAGATTGGAAAAGAGTTCATTACGTAAAAATGGAAATATAAATACTAGAAATGCTTTAATGCTGAAACAGACCGCAAGCCATAAGCGGTCTGCTATTTAGTTGTATTAAACATTATATTGTGTTTTAATTTAATATTTCAAGTTTTTCTGCTGACGTGCTAATTAAAAACAAATGTATTTAGGTTTTTGAAAACCGGTTTCTTAGACTAATCGCTAATATCAAAAGCAATATTCTAAAATTTTCCCTTGATATCTAAGCAAAACAAGTCTTTGCCTTTGTTTTATTTACCCTTAATCCGAAAAGATTAAATGTGTTCTTCTAAAGATTATATTACCGATGTACAATGTATGACTTAGTTTAGAGATTTAAAATAACGATCGAGTATTTGGATATCATAGAAAGTACATATAATGTAATTGCTATTTGGTTTGATCCAAAAACAAATCACTCAATTTCCAAAAGGTAGATTTGAGATCGGAAATTCTTGATCAAACAAATAAAATGTGATTTATTCAAGAACAATATTTTTGTGACAAAAACTATTAGCTTCAGCGTTAAAAAAAATGTAAGTGAATACTTTATCCATTAGTTCTAATTATATCCGTTACTCGTAGAGTAAAAGCGTATACTAGATTAGTCGGAAAGTATGTAACAGGCAGAAGGAAGCGTTTCCGGCCCCATAAAGTATATATATTCTTGATTAGTATCACTAGCCGAGACGGTCTAGACATGTCCGTCTGTCCGTATGAGCTAGGCTATTGGGACTTGGCATGCGGATTCCCGTGCTTCTTGCGCAGCGCAAGTTTGTTCCAGCAGGGTGCCACGCCCACTCTAACGCCCTCAAACCGCCCACAAACTTCAAAAAATCGTAAATATGAACGCGGATATCTCGGAAACTATAAAATATAAAGAACTGAGATTTCAGATTTAAATTCCGTAGCTTTGTACGCAGCGCAAATTTATTACGCGAATATGCCACGCCCACGCTAACGCCCACAAACCGCCCAAGCCAGTGGCGCTCACAATTTTTATGCTAGAAAAAAAATATAAACTGAAATGTATTAGTCTCGTTGATACCTATCGATAAAGCCCATAGCGCCTAAATCTGTCTACCGCTCACATAACCATATATTGAGATCGCGGATAAGTGGCGCATTTCAATCTCGCTTGCATATCTCCATTTCCCTTTGGTTCCTTTAGCTGAGTAACAGGTATCTGATAGTCGAGATGCTCGACTATAGCGTTCTTCCTTGTTTTTTGATGGAGTCGTTAATGCAACAACTTTTTATAGAAGCTTTTAAGACTTGATTCTTTTTCGTTAGCACCTTGAAAATGAACATTAAAAAGTTTGTATTAGATGTGCAAAATTGCATTTTAAGAAAAAATATTTAAAGCAAAGAGAAACTTAAAAATTGCGCTAAGGCTATTTACATAATTTAAACATAACATTATAGTCATTAAATTTACAAACAAATTATATATATCAAACGGTTCTGTTTGTTCCACTTTCTAGGGCAAAATAACAAACAGGGTATAAAGTGTACTGCTTTGTTTAAGTCTTGTATTTTGATTAGCGAATATTTAATTATGCAAATACTATTCAGTGAATTTGGGCGAATCAAAGCCATAAATTAAAGAAAAACTGGTTTTGCTAGGTTTAGCTACCGAAGAAATTTAGTCAGATGTGGAGCTCTGACGTCAATTTTGGTAACCCCAAAAACGAAAGACGTTTAAAGGGGCTCGACGAAATATGGAGTGGCGTTGCAATTAATTTGAAAATACTGGGAATATCTCCATATTAAAAGAATTGTACTTATCTGCATTAATGACACTTTCGTCTATAAAATTAAACTGCAATGTGTGAGCGAAACCCTTTTATCAAATTCTTTGTCATTCATTCATTCAAAATGTATATTTATTAATACAAATATTTTCTATTGCTTACATATAAGAAGAACTTTCTTAAATCACGTAACGTATTCATTTTTGGTTAATTTTCAGTTTTTAGGAGGGATAATTATTTGAGGTTATTGAATCTTCAACCATTACCGTGTCAGGACAACAAAAGTGTCGTTTTCCGAAAGACAAATAGGTTAATTGAATATTTTTTTCGTTGTCACATCTCATCGGAAGGACTATTTCGTGGTGCTCACAATTTTGGAGCCATTTCAGGACTCCAGTTCTGTTTGGATTTTGGATCCTATACTCATGTTATTATAGCGAGGTTTTGGTTGCCCCAGAAATCTACCAAAACAGTTTAATGTAGCCAACTTTTCAGGGGGCTTAAGATACATTTATCGACATCATTGAAACTTTGAGATATGCTAGCTTAGCTTGTTTCGCCCCCAAAATAAAAAACAACAGTTAAGATATCCGAAAAAAATCTTGCACTTTAATTTAAAACTTGGTATCGAAATCGCTTCAACAGAGAAGGCTCGTCCGTGGACGTGCCTGTTTCTTAAGAGTCCACCTAATATTGTCTGTGGTGGTTACGGCGTCCGCCGGAGACGTCAGAGTTGGCGTTGGCGATAGCAGAGGCCTGGGCGGAAGCTGGGCCTCCGTAGCTGTTGGCATTGGCATTGGCCTCGGCGCTTGCCACGGCACTGGCTCCTCCGCCACCACCTCCATTGGCCTGGACGGCCACCAGGGCGAAGATCAGGAAAATGCAGACAGCCAGGAACTTCATCGTAGGAGCTTGTGATGCATTATGAGCGTGTGCCGCTCGCTTTTATAGCAGCATCCCCGACAGGTGGATGGACTTGTTTAACGAAAAATAACAAAAAACGGCAACAAGCTTATTGCTATTATACGTACATATATAAGGGGGGTTCCGTTTAGCACATTAATTAGACATATATTAAGAACGCATGACGTTTTATATTATTTAATATACTATACCGTTCGTAATTGAAAACAGGTTAGCTTTTGAAAAATGTTTTGTTACTTTGGTAAGTAAAGCATATTTCTAGGCCGCAGTAAAAGATCGATGACTAAAAACACTTAAGTAACTGGCTTAATGATATAAAGCTATCAAGAACTGCGTTTACTTAAGTCTGCTTTACACTTCTTCGCAACTCTAAGAACGAGACAAAATGCAATGTAAACACACATTGCTCAAATGAAAGAAAACGTATATCATTTAAAAAACAAATCTAAAGACGTTTAACAAATTAGAACAAGGGAACAATCAGTATTGTTTTCGTATATTTACGAAGATCTCGTCGGATCAGCCTTTATTCCATTTATTATTAATGAACTACGAATTTATACAAACGTATGTACGTAAGGCGTACGTAAATAAGACCATTTATAAAATCTAAAAAATCTGAAAGAACTTAACCCTTTGTTTATTTAGGTTTAGCTGTTATTAACCTTTTAAAAGCGATTACTTTATCTTTAGTTCGACATTTTTTCCTGAATTAGATTACTCGGACTTTAGGCGATCATCATTTTGTGAGCCTTAGTCTAATCAGGTTAAGTCTAAAACATAGTCAAGTTTGAATAAAATTATTCTAACTTAGTAGATTAAAATTCTTAACAAATGTATGGCGAGCAGACGCACCATGCTAATGACTTCTGACCCAAATAATAATTTGTTTAGTACAGGAAAAATAAAAGGCTATGTGTAGGGTATTGTATTTATTTTATTGAAGGTTCATTATTAAATTTTTTTCTTTTCTTGGCGGCGAGATTTATCTTCGTCTATCCGTAATTAATTGGAACACCATAGCCTCCTCCGCCACCAGAAGCAGAGGACGTGGCTGAGGCTTGGGCTTGGGCGTCGGCTCTGCCAACTCCACCTCCTCCTCCGTAGGCACCTGGTCCTCCGCCATAGGCACCTGGTCCTCCGCCATAGACACCTGGTCCTCCTCCGTAGGCAGCTGGTCCTCCTCCATAGGCAGCTGGTCCACCGTAGCCACCGGGTCCTCCGTATCCACCATAGCCACCGGGTCCTCCGTATCCACCATAGCCACCGCGTCCTCCGAAGCCACCATGTCGTCCTCCGTGTGGGTTGGCCTGGACCGCCACCATGGCGAGGATCAGGATAGCGCAGAGTGCAAATAACTTCATCGTGGGTGTTTGTTGTGCCGTCTGAGAGGCTTTGGGACTCTTTTATACTAACATCTGTCCCGCCATCTAAACCAGTTCCCAGTTTTATTTTCGAGAATCATTACTGCCAAATGCCAATTGTATTTTTAATTGTTCTCAATACAGTTATTAAGCACTTTCTTAAATTTCACGTATATCACATGAAATGTAATTAAAACTGGTTTGAACAGATGCCTCAGGCTTGGCTTAATCATTTTATTTTCTATGCAAATTGGTGAAACAAATAAAATTAAGAGGCAGGTTTTATTATGTGAGTAACTGATGGGTATGTGCCTGATCATTTTTTGATTTCAGTCGAGTAACTTAATTTCCATAATGTATTAATAATATGGATATTTTAAGAAGGCAAAGTCAATCCAAAATGTTAGCTCATTATATATTTGCAATAAGAAAGAATGGCATACTTTTTGGCACTAGCTGTAACTATTTTTCATTATTCGGCAAAAAAAGCTTTTGAAGACTAGGCTAATATATTTAACAAGAAGTTGCTTCATGATTAGTTTGAAAAAATATTAGTTATTTGATTGATTCTTAAGAAATGTATATACTGCTCTTAATTTATGGAGGGGGAATAGAATAGAGCATATTTCTCTTAATTGGTTTTACCTGGAGTTCATATATAGCGTGTCTTACAAGTCTTTAATTTCCCAGGGACTTTCCCGCATCATTTTAGGAAATGACTAACTGGTTGGTAATGTACATCCCATGGCCTAGAGCCCAGCTAGTCATCTGGTTAAGTAAATAAAGCCAAAAAAAACCCGTATCGCCAAACCTTCGATCCGCATTCATTCGATTCACATTCAACATGCAGTTTAGCGCCTGCTGCTCAAGTTCAAATGGAAATTAGCGGCTGGTGTTTTTTTTATGGCCGAATGCTTTCGAATTCCATCGAGAGTAAGGCACAGCGAACGTGATACCAATTGCCAAACCCCAAAAAGCCCTGTGCCTTTTAACGTCGATCGATGAATGAATAACCCGCCACGAGAGGCGACCCAAGCCTCTGGACCTGACCGGACCAAACGAGTCAGCCTGGCTGGTCCACGTGTCTGTCCATCGGACTGACTGCGTCCATGCCGGAACACAAGAGCCCAAAAATGTATGACGACAACTCTTGAGGCGATTGCCGGTTTTTTTTGCAGGTGGGCAGCGATCAGTTTGTGGGATGCTGATTGTCTGTGTTTGTGGTTTTCTTGATTTCTTGGGTGCGCTGCCTTAACGATCCACAAATGAATCATATTCATTGGATTGGGCTTGAAAGAAGTCTGGGAAATACTCTAGTTTGTATGCTCTCCATGAGCTGTTTATGAAATAATTGAAGTAGTTACTTTCTAAGATAAGAGTTTCTAACATATCACATCAATCAACGCTTAACTTTCCCTATTATATTCCGTTTATACATTATTATGTCACTTTTGACGAGCGATTTTTGGATCAACAATGTTTAAAAGACCTACAAACGCTTTGTGCAATCGCCAAAGCAAACGCAAAACGGAAGATTGGTGTTCATGTTTTATTTATAATTTATAAAATCGTTTATCTCCAGCATTTCACTTCATTTTTGTCATTTGGCAGACCGTACACAATTTTGCACAATATCATATTTGTTTTGTTTTGATGTCGTTGTGGATTTGCATCTATACCGATATCATCTTACGCAGAGTTATCTATTTTTTGGTTTATCACACTGTGTTGGGGCCCGTCGGATGAAATTTAAATATTTTTGTTTATAACTCGTTTAGAATTGAAAATTGCCTAAAACAAACCAATCGAGCATGAATCGCTCAATGTCTCCCCGTCTCCGCATTATGGCAAGTTGTTCGACCTTGACAAGGTCGCATTCTCGGTGGGGCAACCACTCACGAGCGGTTGGTCCGCACCACCGACGAGTAACCGTAGAGCACCTCCACTCCGTCCGAGTTGAAGATCCGTTCCACCCGAGGAGCTCGCGTCGGAATGGGGCGTTCTGTAGTTGTGGTGATTGTCGTGGTGGGAGCACTGGTGGTGCTGGTGGTACTCGTTGTGGTTGGAGCACTAGTGGTGCTAGTTGTGGTCTCTGGAGCACTAGTAGTGCTAGTTGTCGTCTCTGGAGCACTAGTGGTGCTAGTTGAGGTCTCTGGAGCACTAGTGGTGCTAGTAGAGGTCTCTGGAGCATTGGTAGTTGTGGTTGGAGCACTGGTACTTGTGGTCTCCGGAGCACTGGTAGTCGTCTCTGGCTGGGCAACCAGCAGAGTTTCCACTTTGGTGGTCAGAAGAACAGCCTCAGTGGTTGTAGTGGTGGAGCTAGGAGCTGTAGTCGTGGTTTCCTCCGCCTCTGTGGTGGTTTCGGGTGCTGAGGTGGACGAAACCAGTAGGAGTTCTGTGGATAACCAAAAGTTTAACCATCTCACAAGGAAATAAAATAAATAATGTAAGAGACGTACCTTTAATTTCTTCTAATGGAGACTCAGTAGAGGCTACTTCTTCGTTTAATACTGGCATAACCGTAGAATGCTCAGGCTGTGGCTCTGTGACAATGGGAGCTCCATTGCTAACATATTGGTAGAGCGGCACCACTGTGGTTTCCACCGACTCCGCCTGATCACTCTCACTTTTCGGCTTGGGGTTCTCCTCCACCAAAGCGGCTTCGGTGGTCATGATCATGGACAGCTCTACAAGTTCCTGAGCTGGTAAATTTGTGGTGGTCTCCATTCGGTTCTCGGCCATGTCCAGCTCTATTTCTTCCATTTGCGCTGGCTTCCGTTCGAAGTAGTTTCTCATGGTCTTTACCTCCTGGAACTCGGTGGTTTCCTCAGTCTCCGAAGAACGTGATGTGGTGACTTCCTGTGGTGCAATGGTGGTGATGCTTCTTTCGGTGGTTGTGATGAAACTTGGTGGCAGTGTGGTTGCGCCAAACTTGAAGCTGCGCCTGGTGGTGTCAGTATTATTGGAATTCGGTGGCTCCGTGGTTGTGGCGCCCAGGTCCTCATTCTCCGACTCCGACTCCAGCTCCGTTTCCGGCTCTTCGGGATTCTTAAGCCGCTCCTCCTGAGCCCGCTCCATCTCCAACTGCTGCACCACCGAATCCGGAAGCGGTTCCTCCGTCAGACCCATCGGACTGGCCTCGGTGAAGGCCTCGCCCTCGGGACTGGTGGTCAGGATCACATCCGAATCAACGTCCACCGTGATGGTTCCCTCCTCCACGGACATATAGGTGGACTCCTCAACCAGCTCCACATTTTCGGTGGTTTCATAATCCGGCGAAACGGTGGTTCTCTGTGGTGCAGCTCTCGCATTTACGGCCACTGCGATCAGCAGCAGAATGGCAAAGGTTCGCAACATTTTCGGTTTTCGGCTGAGTTTTGTCTGGTATTCGCGGAATGCGAGGCGGTTCAGTGGCTCGCTGGCAATGAATCAATATCAATCGAGTGTGGTTTCAGCGCGCCGAAAGCTACGTTCACTTTGGATTTCGAAAACTTGCTCCTGTCTCCAAAAGCTTTCTGGTATTTCGCGCTCTCTCTCTCTATTTCTGCAGAGAGAAAAAGATGGTATGCTTTACGATATTCCAAAAAGAAGGGGTCTCAAAAATGAATATATTTTAAGTGATTTGAAGTCAAGAGCTTTAGGTTATTGGTTTTAAATAGTTAGGTTCGAAAAACTGGAAGGATAAACACTTAGACACTTCTTACAAACATTTCACAAAAACACTATCAAAACTCAGCTGTTATTCAATGATTTCAATGATTTCAGAGCTTTAGATGACAGGTTTTAAATAATTATTTTTAGAAAATTGGAAAGATTAACATCCTAACACTTCTTTTGAGTAATTCACAAAAAATGTTTAAAGACCTCAGTTGTTTTGCGTTTATGTTTAGTTTTCTTTAAAAACTTTAAATGCTATATTAAACTTCAATTAAGTGATTGTTTTTTCTCAAGTGCCACTACCTCAGACTTTGTTTCTGGCTTTTAACTGGTTCACTCGAGGCTGCTGGCTTCCGCTCCACGTTGTTGTGACTAGTTTTGTTTGCGGCGAGGAACTAAACCGTTTGCAGCTCCGGCTCGGGCTTTTAAGGCGTTTGAAAACTGTTCCCGGCTTGGGTTTTTGGCTTGGCTTGGGTTTCGATTCGATTCGATTCGGCTCAGCTTCTGGTGGCTCAGGTGCGCCGCCAACTGCTCCTCAGGTTCGGCCTTTTTGATGGACCTGAAGTACAGGTGCACTTGGCCCAGAAACATCTCTTAAATGGCACTTCCCCCTCTCCAGTTCAATTTCACTTTCAACGCACTCACCTGAGCTCACCTCTGATATTGATTTTGCTTTTCGGTTTCAGTTTGGCCCGGAGTGGCAAACCGGCTTTGTGGTATGGCAATTAGTTGGTTACAACTCGACGGCCTCTCATAATTCGCGGTTATTCAACGCTCTGCACCGACACGCTCTCGCATTTGGATATTAATATTAAACTAATTCGATCAGAACCAATGGGGCTCTTTGAAACATGCCCATTGTCTTGGCCTGAAAGAGTCTCTGATTGCCGGTTGAATGGTCGCAGTAATTGAGTGGAAAAACAATGGCTTCGAGTTGAGGAATGTTTAAAGTCAACCAAAGTGATATTTTAAGCACAAACATTACTTACATTTTTCCACTTATCCAGCAATTGATTCGGTAAGCTGATATCGGTATATTCTGCCGAGATCCCATTTCTTTCGAAGTCTAAACAATCTATTTTCAGAAAGAATGCGTGCTTTGTTTTGATAAAGTATAGTTTACATTTCGCACTAAAATTTCGATTGGATAAATTGTTAGTATTATAAATTTCACCAAATATTTGAGGCTTAAATTATACGCTTGTTTGTAGAATATATTAAAATATGGTTTTGTAGATCGGAAAGATAACGTGTTAAACAATGCCAAAAGTTTTAGGTGAGCTAATGGGAGCAAACGCCTTAGTTATAGAACTCATTTTTATGTATAAGTTGTTTTACTAAACACAGTTCCAGTTATAGTCCAGTTTAATAATTTTATGCCAAGAGCAAAGTTAATCCCCCGATCTATTTCCGGTGCACCTAAAAAAATATTGTGACAAAAAAGTATAAAAAAGAGTGTGCGATCTTGTTCAATTTTTAAAATTGAAATAATAATAATATCTATTTAAATAATTCATTAAGATTTCATTTATTATTGCTAATACACATTGTTTATTTATCACTTGCTTAAACTTTATGCCATTATTATGCTGTGAGTGTTTGACATTTTCCATAAAAGCAAACTTAAGGAATGTCTGGGGATTTTGTCAAGTGGGTTTGCCGATTGGCATTGTTTTACTATTGAGAGTGAGTCAGCTTTTAGCGGAATTCCAGAGCAGGCATTATCAATGCTTTTTCCTAACAGCCAATTTCATTTGAAATTTTAATGTACCACTTCCTCACATTCCTCTTATCTTTCCGGTGGACATTTCTATTCAACGCATAAATTCCCCCAATGGCTATGACCCCGCAAATTGATTCTGTGCGAACAAATTGTGTAAGCCATCGCAAAGAGGAACTTTCATAATTAGTTCTTATCAAACCAGAAAAGCGACCGCAAAACTCTCGTTTGCGGCAAACTTGGACAACAACATAAATATGGTTGACCATAAGGACAAGTTTTATGTCAACTCGACAGAAAATGTCTTCTGGACGTGGCCGGGAATCTCAACATCTTGCCACCACCAAGGGCGATGAAGACACCAACAACTACGACTGTCAACTGCGAAGGGCAATAACAATAAACTGGCCACTATTGAGCCACAGTGGGGATTGCCCTGGGTGACATTTGACCTTCAAATAAGTCCCTAGTGTTTAATTTATGAAGTATTTGCCATTATTACTTAAGAACTAAGAAATTTTATAATAGTAATAAAAGCATGGTTGAACTTTCATCAACTTCTTGAAACTGAAATGAGGCTGCTATCCGTTTTTTGAGGCTTCACTGTACAGCTTTACTTAAGGTTTCTGCATAGTTTAGCGAAAGTGGTCAGATGAGAAATCAGTAAATGCCGATATATTTCTTAGGAGGCGTATTCACGCCAGTATGATTTATCTAATGACTGGTTTCCTCTGCGACTTTAAGACCTGCCAGTTAGTCTCTCATGCCCGGAAAACACCTTTAGTCAACTTCAATAACATCATTAAGCCCAGAAGGAGGCTGCTGGCACTCACTTAAATGGATCCCTGCCGTCAAAATACCGGACACAAAGGCCACTTGGCAGGCGGCCAACGTAAATATGACTTATAAAACGCTCTCGAAAAAAGACTTTTTGGCAAGCAAATTAGTTTGTTAAACTGATGATGGAGCTGGCTGGCTCTTTCGGCACTTGGCTGAAATATTTATGCAAAATTTTCCCAGCTGAGGGGGAAGGTGATGAATTGAGAATTCAATTTCCCCGGCGTCGGCTACTTCGAGTGTAAACAAAGTATTAATCATACGCCCTGTGGGCAGAGTCGGGCCAACGAAGAAGAAGTCATTAGCAGGCAGCCGGGAAATGACTTGAAATCATTATTATTAAAGTGCCGGCCGACCAAAATCAAAGTTGTGAGCGCTTCCAATTTGGCCAACGATAAATGTAATTTAAATAGCAAGTGAAATAAGCTTTCAGCCCGATCACAGAGGAGCTCCGCTCCGGTTTTAATGCTTCGGAAAATCATTAGGAAAACATTTCGCATGCAAATTCGGTTCGGTACAAATGTAATTTTCCTCATCGACTTGCCCGGACTTTGAAGTGTCGCCAGTGGCAATTTGTCCGGAGGGCGTGGCTCTTTATTGCTTAACGATTACGACCGCTTCATTGGCTCCTGACGCTAATGTTTATTTCTAAATTACTTCAAATGGAAATGCAAATTCCATCCCATGTTGGAGCAAAATCAATCAAATCGGGGAGGAGCTGCCAGTATGTGCAGGGAAAATGCCAGCATTGTTTTTACCTCATTACTTTGTAATCAATAAGCTCTCTGGCAAACTTTATTCTCCGGCATAAAAATCACTTGTGGGGCTCCAATTCCCTTTGAGTAGCTCTTCATTCCAAGGAACTTGAAACTCTGAAACTCTGTTTATTTTTTTAATTCCCATTGCAGGCGAGGGTTTTTTTTGCCATTGTTCACAAGTCGAGACAATAGAAACGGGCAACTCGAAACGAGCATTGTAATTGTATTACAAAAAATTATTATTGTATATATTGCAAAATAATATGCGAATGAAAAGCCTTTGCGCCGTCTTTTGTCTTTGCTGTAAATTCAATTATCGAATCAGAACGGAATAAATATCAGAGATTGCCGATTTTCATATACGAACGCGAGTATTTACATATTAATCCTTAATTAAAAAGCTTCACTTAATTGTGGCTCATTGTGTTGACAGAGGAATATTAATTTAAGCTTTCCAATGAAATGCATTTTTGTCCCGATGTCCCGCCTTTAACGGCAGTAATATGTTTCGGCTTTAATTAAATAATTTACTTGCTGACCAGCAGTTATTAAAGTTGTGTTGGTATTTTGGAGCAATAAAGGCTGGTATTTCGTAGTGCAAAATAATTAGTATTTTTTTCGGAATTCTGTAGATACAGGCATTTTAACCAATCTCAAGGTTAGTATACATTTTCCTTAAAAGTCTTACTGAAATAAATAAATCATTTCCAGCATAATTTGTAGACATCATTTTATAAGTGATTGGTCTAGGAAATAGAACAATGAACCTAGCTAGATTATAAATTTTTAGAATTTATTGTGTTTTAATACAAAACATTTTCTGCTTTTCTCCCAGAATGGAAACTAAGCAAATTCCTACTTAAATAATATTCCTAAGCCTGCAGTAAATCTTCATATTCAATGTTTGACAATTACGTTCTATTACTTATAATTAACCTCGAATCAGGAATTCTGGCATTAAAGGAGCAATGGCTTTAGTCGATTTAATAAATTATGATGTGCGGGTGGCTCGAGTGTGCGTGTGGCTGTTCTGATGTGCTCGAGTGTGTGCATCTATGACGCTAATGACAGCCCCTGAAGAGCCCTACAATATCATTATAAGCCAAAACTAAGTCAACAACAACTGAGGCAAAAGCCAACTCACCGAGGCTTAGAGCGAGAAAGGGAAGGGGAGAAAGGCCAGAGCGGGATGGATAGACAAAAGCTAGTTGCACAGGCAGGAGCCACTAATTGACTTTAATTATTTTGTTGTACTTAATGTCTTGTTTACACGAGGAAAAGAAACAGAGAGCCGAAGAGAAAGGCGGTGGGAATGTGGGCGGGGCACTAACAAATCACTTCTTCATACCATAAAGGCAAATGGAGAGCAAAAGCAGGGGAGAATTAGCAAAAAATGACAGCTGGCGGAGAAATGGGTGGTAGAAAGAGCTAGATAAAACAAAAGCTACACAGGGAAAAGGGTTTTTAATAGATCACTGACTAATAGGGCATGGTAGATATTTTATATTTTTAAGTACAACATTAAAAATGATATAAATCTGCATGGTTAAGATCATATTAAAGAAATGTATTAGATCAAAATTCCATATATTTTAAATGAACTTATAGCATGAGTAATTTTTCCCCGTGTTGAAAGCAGAAGGAAAGTCTGTCAAAGTTAGTTAAAAGCGATGTGTAAACATGTGGGCTCCCATAGCTTAGCGGGAAAAGAGCACCTCCATCTGGCTGTCTCTTTCTCGGCTCGCTTTGTCTCTTTCTCCCTGCGCATCCTCCTACTAAACTTTAATTAAAGTTGAATTTGTGTCAGTTGTGTGCTTGCAACTGTGGTTGCATGTTTCTTCCGCCTGCTGCCAGAGGATTTTTCCTTTGGTATCAACAACAAGGAGAAGCAAACAAGGGTCCCTGCCATATGGATGATGTCATATGCAATCAGGAACTCTTTAAAAACTAATAAGCAAGTTAAATTTTATGTTTCATATTAAGCAATCTTAGTTTTTTTTAAAGAGTGTATAAAAGAAAGATCATGTGCCATATTTAAGTTGTTCTTATGTAAGTATGATATATTCTTCTATTTTTTTAATTTTTCTGATATTCTG